CCATCCATCCATCCATCCATCCATCTTCTCCCGCTTATCCGTGGTCGGGTCGCGGGGGTAGCAGTTCCAGCAGAGAGCCCCAAACGTTCCTTTCCCTGGCGACATCAACCAGCTCTGACTGGGGGATCCCAAGGCGCTCCCAGGCCAGCGAAGAGATATAATCCCTCCGCCTGTCACTTATTGTACTATTAAATATATTGTAATTGGAGGTTGAACGGTCCATTTATTTTCTCACATCAGTCCAACATTGCAGTTGTCATTAACAAGAATCCTGTCTAGAGATGCTATCAGAAACCATTTTATCTACGATGGGAAAACACTGTGCAGAGATTCACACAGCAATACAAGAGTGAGAATAAGAGATAAGAAAGGAAAAAAAGAATTGGCAATCTAAATCAGCAGTGAACCCTGTCTCCATGTCCCGTTCCAACTGGACTCTGAACACAAAGTGCACTGTAAACACAGGCTGGGACACAGAGCGCTGCTTTATCATGAGACAGAGGCAAACACACAGAGCATGCATGAAGGCTGCACGGCCAACCCATGCTGAGTCAAGGCGAGCTGTCAGAAGGCAGACCAATGGAGGAAATAAACCACATCCAGTGTTCTGCACGTAGACTGCAATGCAGACACACTAACCAGAAGTAACAGAGCTGATGATAAAGTCACCAGCAGGGATGCACAAAATCTATCAGGCATATCAATTATTGTACAATTAGGTACGATTTATATGATGTAATGTTCCCATAGTGAAGTTAGCGCTGTAGAAGCCAAATTGCTTTCATTATCTTAACGTAACATGCAGCCTCTACACGCTCTGATAAAGTATCTGACAATATGCCTCTTTACAGTTAGTGTTTGCTCTGCCAATAACCACAGAGAAGAAGAAGCAGAACTAAATGCACCACCTGACTAGAGAGCCAAGCAGTTAGTCGCTGATGTTGACATTTTGATTGTTTACATTCAACTCTATTGTCATTGCAAAGTGTACAAGAACCAGCACAACAGCAGGTGCCCCAGCGAGAAAACACGATTGCTACAGTAATTGCTATGCACGTTTTGCTATTAACTAGTAGAGACAATGAAGAACATGTAAACAGTAAGAACTGTTCTTTGATTGGTTGTGAAAACTATAGTGATGTCAGTTAAATTTGATCAGAGTTATGGAGTATTGAATAATCCACCTGTACTCACTATTTTAGCCGTTCTTACCCATACTGTGCAGAAACTACAGGTTATAAGCTTCTGTTTAAAATACAATAACGGGAAATGATGGGTCATCTGATCAGTATCGGCCATGATGAGCAAGTCATTTTTCGTTGTCAGTATTGTCTGAAAATAAATCCTTATCCTGCATCCTTCCTTCAACCAGAGTGCAGCTTTTCATGCTGCAACGTTTGCTGCTTGAGCTTTGAAAATTCAGTCAGGTAGGGCGAACCGATCGGCCTCTCAGTCAAAGTGACAGACACACAGAACCCGGAGGGATCGTGTTATGCTGGCCTTGTGCTTTCTCGGCACTGCAATACAGACTACCTCATCACACCTGACAGCACTAGCACTGAATGCTGCTCGGAGCATGCAACGCAAGGCAGAGCAAACACAAGCTGGATTTAAGACACAGTCATGGGAACTCCCTCCCACACCCACACACAGAGGACATCCTGGTAACCATGGAAACCCTCCACATCCTCACCAATGACATCACAGGCTTTACATCACGACACAAACATGGGGCCAAGCAATCACCTGACCCGCTGTTAATCAGCTCAAGGTGAGGGGGCCACACAGGTCAACCATCTGGATGCCAGGATGATGGTGAAGATGATTGAGAGGATGAGGAAGAGGGACTAAGAATAGACCCTCCTGCCTCGGAGAAAGAGAAAGAAGAGTGAGGAGGCGTGTGTGTGTTCAGTCTCTATTGGAAGCCACCGGAACCAAAAGCCATATGTGAGCAGGGACTCATGAACACACACACACACACACACACACATACAGACTATGTGATGAGCAAGTGAGGCAGGCAGATGGATGAGGACAGAGAGATAACTCAAGCAGGGAGGGGGGGGTCTCGCAACATCCACTCACATGATTGCTGCTACTTGATGATCGTCACCTCGTGTACAGTATAAAACCCTGATGTAAGCTGCTGGTGACAGTATGCTCCGTGCTGTAATGCTGGCCACACCAACATACTTTCACACCAGGGTGATGTACACAGACACCAAATGGATGTAATGGCCTGGTGTTGATCACATGGGGAAATCTAGCTAATGGCCATATGGCAACATTTGAATGCAGCAGCCAGGAAAGCAGTTATCCAGTCTCTGTGGTGCTGCTGTGTGTATAATAATGTCTGAGGAACTGGGGAAGGATACATTTGAAGAAGAGTGTTAGGTAATGAGTTGCAAATGAGTCTGTGTATCAAATCTAATTCTGGCTGTTGTGGCTTTACTATTATAAGCAGCTCCCTGTCTTCCCTGAGGCAATAATGAGCAACAGACTGCCTTCGAGTCATTCCTTGTTTTTCTAAATGCATGTGTGGTGATCAGCAGAAGGCAATGGTTTATATCCTGAAATGCTCTGGGAGCTGAGAGGCACACATGCTGGACAGAAGCAGTAGCAGCAGTAGCTCTAGCCCCAAAACGGTGCTCCCTCCTGGGGCTGAAGCTACAGCTCCTAGCCCCACCACAGAGTTCCGTCCTGGGGCTCCTGCATGGAGCTACACCTCGGCTCAACAGCTGTGTCCAGCTGTGCTACAGGGAGACACAGGGGGCTTTGTTCCCCACAGGGGGAGGCAGGGTTGTTGGGAGAGGTAGTGCAAACGGTGTCCCTGTGTGTACACATAGTTTCATTTCCAGAAACTGTCTCCACCAGAAGTGTTCCCCCCCCCCCCCCGAAAGACGGCCCTACAACGGCAGCAGGCAGGGAGGGAGCAGCGGGACAGGGTGGCAAAGCAGACCAGGATGTGTGGAAAATTTCAAATACGCTGAGCCAACGCTGTCCAAGCCAAGCGAGGCACATTCTCACACACACACACACACACACACACACACACACACACACACACACACACACACACACACACACACTTACTGAACCCCCAGAAATGCACACATCCCACTTGAAGCCCTCTTGCTTCTCGTATCGCCCGTGAAATTATGAGATATATCTGCACCGCCAAGTAACAAAACATCGATACATGCTAAGACGCGGTGTGCAGAAAGGAAAGCGCCGGGTAATCACCGAACACTCAGGAAACAACAACAAAAGAGAGGAGTAAAGAGAGAAAGAAACCACAGGCAGCAGCGTGGTTTACTCCCAGGGATATATGACACCTCTGGGAGAAGATTAACTAGTAATTCACGGTGTTACTCACTCAAATGAACCGGGTCCGCTCGGTCCACTGGAGGATAGCCGGTCGGTCTTCCGGCTGAGAGTCGGGCGGGATCTGCGCTATGGAGACCGGAGAGCTCACAGCCTGAAGGACTGAACGTAAACTGTGGCTTGCGTCATTTCACCAGGATGCCACTATTGCGCGCAGCAATGCAGCCATCTTGCTGAGGAGTGCCCCACCAACTCACCAATCACTGCTGGACATGAGGCTTATTTTGGTCCCAGAAATGAAAGTGATCCACCTCGAGATTTTAGTAATTCCATGCATAATGCAGAGCAATATCTGAGGGAAACCCATTAACAAAATGGACTATGTTTCACATGTTTTTCATAAAATACTTATTGTTTAGTGTCACTTGGTGTCACTTTAATATAGGCATACTGTAAATCACTGCTTGATCTAAGTCTTATTTTGGTCCCAGAAATAAGTGTTTCTCCACGAGATCTTAGTATTTGCCATGCATAATGCAGAGCAATATCTGAAGGAAACCCATTAACACAAATTGATTATATTTCACCTTTTCTTCATAGAACACTTAATGTTTGGTGCCACACTAGTGTAACTTTAATATAGTGTAAATTACTGCTTCAACTACAGGATCTTAATATTTCCTATACATAATGCAGGGCAATATCTGAAGATATTTTGACAAACAATCGACTATATTTCACTTTTTCTTCATAAAATGCTCCATGTTTGGTGTCACTTTAATATAGTACTGTAAAGTATTGGTGGAAATTACTCTTATTTTTCTCCAAGAAATAAAAGTGATCCACCAGGGAATCGTAGTAATTCCAAATAATAATGCAGTGCAATGTCTAAAGATACATTTACAAAAAAAGAGCTATATTTCAACTTTTCTTCATAAAATATTACATGTTTTTAAAATGTACTGCTGGACCTGAGTTTATTTTGGTCACAGAAATAAATGATCCAGTAAAAGGCAGTGCAATATCTGAGACAAAATTATGTGTTGTGCTTTTTTAACAATTTAGGGAAAAGTGTCTCGACCAGGTGTAATATTAAAGGGCAGACATGGCAATGTATAAATCGTAATAATAATCCCAATAGATACAACAGTTTTTAGTCTGGATACTTAGAGTGCATTTTTCTATTTCCAATTGTAATGCAGGGATTCACTTGTAACTGAATATAGCTCCTGTTCTTTAATCTTAATTAAAATATATATCACTTCTTTCACTGCAGCTGTAATCAGTTTGACAGTAATTATATTGTGCATACTGAGAATGTCATGTTAATTTAACTGATTTTATGTGGGTGTACACCCACTGTTTATAGAAACATGATTCTTGGAAAATAACTGGTTTAAAAATGTTACCTCTCTCACTCATCTATTCCGCTTTCTTGTAAAAGGCATTTCCTCAAAAAGTCCTCAGAAAAGAGATGCTAAACAGTATGATGTATAAGAGTAACTTTGAAATCCCTTCTAGTGGTATAACATTCAGTAAGAAAACTACTTGGATTCAGCCATGTCTACATCTAAAATCCTGAATCTCCTTTAATAAAAAAATGTTGTATCAACTTTAACAACTAAATTAAACATCCAGTGTAAAAACAGGACAAATAACCAAGCCAGACTTCCCAGTTTCCCTCTTAATCTTTTATTTCATTACATTTTATCACGTTAACTTAATGGCTTATTATTGCTCCTTCCAATCAGTCAGCAGCTAAGCATGACAGACAGATCTCATAGCGCCCCCCTGTGGCCGCCTACAGCCGTGTAATCCATCCCAGCAGCTGCTTAGGGAGTCTGCTCCACCCGATGTGGTCCAGAGGCTGTTTGTGGGGTGAACCAGAACCTGAGCAAAGCAGCGCTATATTATTTTAATCAATATATCTCCACAAATACATATTTACATAGACAGATGACTTCATATATCCTCCAGAAAGATCAAGTTTGGCGTTGTCTACCGTAAACCCGTACAAAAAAAGATCCTGCAGTCACACATCCCCAAATGAATTAAGTCCTCAAGTCACATCAATGTGTACAAATGATTAGGCCAAAGACGTATCACATATAATCATCACATTTAAAATCAAATTAATTGGTCGATGGATTAATTTATAATTGTTGGACCAATGCATAGACAGAACAACAGTGTGAGAAGTAATTTGAAGTGAGAAGTGAGAAGCTGTAACACACACACAGTCTGGCCCATGTCATTCATTAGGGTTTCCTATGACAGATAAACAGAAACTGTATGAGAAAGTGAGGTAAAAACCCTGGTCTCTCATCCATTATCTACCAGGCTAAAAAGGTGGTCCGGAGATGCAGTGTTTGGGCTGCCTTGGCACGTGTTGCCGTCCACAGAGAGTCTCTCCAGCTTTCTTGGAGCTCACCAGATTGAGCCCGGTGACTGGTGATGATGCGGCCCCTCCGTGTTCCTCCTCACAGGGAGGGATCCCACCGCAGTCACAGGGTACGACACGCCCGACGACTGTCAGAGCCCTAAGGTCAAAGCTCGTCCTTCTCCATCTGCTGGAACGCCTCCAAGTCTTCCCGCCAATCAGCCAGCAGTTCATCCACTGACTGGTTTGAGTCTGTGTTGCCTTCCTCGCTCTTTTCAGAGTCCGTCTCCTCTTTGGGCTGAGTCGAATCCGCCACTGTAGGAGGAGCTCTCTCTTCTGCGGGACTAGCTTCCTCTGTGGGACTAGCTTCCTTTTCGGCTGGTCCAACTCCCTCTGCGGGACTAGCTTCCTCTGCGGGACTAGCTTCCTCTGCGGTACTAGCTTCCTCTGCGAGACTAGCTTCCTTTTCGGCTGGTCCAACTCCCTCTTCAGGGCTAGCTTCCTCCATAGGACTAGTGTCTTGATCTACATCACTGACAGCCTCCTGTGATGGCTTAATCTCGTCTAGCGCCAAAGTGCTAATTAGCGATTGACTAATTGGCTCAAAATTGGTGGGAGTTGTTGCCTCAGTTAAGCAGCCCCCCTCGGTAGCTTCCACGTCTGCACCTGAAAAAGAAAGCAGAGGTGTGAGAGATGCACAAAGCCTGTATACTCCTCCACAGTCAGTCATCTTTACAACATGCCACCTGTTAGCCATTCTTGGGCAAAAATAGAAGCGTTTTCATCGTGAGGTTGTCAACTGTAACAGCATGATGCTGACGGTGAGTCATGTTTCCCACAGGATAAAGACTTTCTCACATAGCTGCGCAACCAAATTGAGAGTCAACTGTGAAATGACATCTGGCAAAAAATATACTGTGAATTGTGCACCGATCTGGTTAGGGAAAGTTGATATGACACGTTTAAAAAAATGTTCCCGTTTATTTAACTCCTGAGTGAATATGTGTTAAGGAACAAGTCTTTTAATTATACTTTACAGTCAAGGGGATAAAGCAATGACAACATGCAATGACTGTTACTTCAAGGCTGTGTAATTTAGGTACAGAAAGGCAAAAGGTATCTGGTCTTTATTGTATTCTGGTGGCTTTATTTGAAAATAATATCAAGGTTTGTGGCCAATTGTCTGTTTTGGGAAGCAGCTCGTCTGTGAACGCATGTAGCCAGATCCATATCAGCTCTTATTGTGCCGTTATGGATCCGATCCTGTATAAACAACCCAGGTTACTTGTAAAGAGTATGGCCTTTGTTTAGGCTTCCTAGCATTAGTTCTGGAATCTGGCCATTTTATAACCCGTTTGACAGGAAACCGCTGGATAATCAAAAGCAATTTTAGGCTAAAATGAAGTAAAGCAGATCAAAAATAAACTGTGAGTCTCACACCAGAAACAGTCATGTAAAATCACTGTTGTATGGCTTCGGGGGGGGGGGGGGGGGGGGGGGGGTAATACTCCCCCATACTCCCCATACTTTCCAGCCTTGTCATGTTCAGCTATTGGTTTCCTCTAGTGATTAACAGACATAAAAGAGCTGCCGTGTCCTCAGCTTTGAAGGGTAAAATCATAAATGACAATACTGTGACTGCACCAAGCTTTTTATATCAAACACAAACCGAATCCTGTGGTTTGAGGGCAGAGGGAGAGGAAAGGACGAGAAAGGATGCAGAAAGAAATAACAGGCACAGAAAGAAGGAAGAGAATACTTACTGCCCTCGATCTGGCTGCCAGGACGAGGTTTACCTTTGAATATTGTTGCTGCTCATCCAAAGGGGAGAGGGTTATGAAAGAAGAAAAGAGAGGAGAGGAAAGGCACCGTTACAGACCACCACAGGGAATTGGCAAATGAGGTAAGAATAAAAGAATGAGGATGCAATATTGATAAGGGTGTAAAACTCCTAACCATCCACTGTTATAAACCACAGCTTGGGAATGAGTCACGCTCTCCGATACTTCAAATAATGCCTGAATCCCTACATCTCATCTTTATTTCATGAAGCCAGGAACATAATGAGGCTCAGTCAGTGGAGAGAGATAACTCCACTGATGTGATCAATCTGGAGTGATAAGTGGAGCAAAGAGGGGAACATTTAGGGAGTCATGTCACACCTCTGTCTCTGGCTTTGTCGCTCAGCAGCACCTCCACCTCCCGGTACTCCTTCAGCGTCTCCAGCAGGATGTTGCCCTCCTTGTGGAAGAGGAAGAGGAGCGGCAGGGTGACGTCGTCCGTGCTGCGGCCGTCGCCCGCCATCTGAAACAGGGGCGCTGTGTCGCTGCTGCTGCCCTCGTTGTCGTCTGGAAGGAGAGGGAAAGAGCAAAGGGAGATAAGAGAGAGATAGTGGGGCTGAAGGAAATAGTTGATCGAAATTGAAAATGAACTTACAACGACTTTTATATAAGGGACAGTTTCATCGCACAGGCCATAAGACTGTTAAAGAACTGAACTTTTGAAAGAACATCCATAACATTCATCTGTTTGCAACTTATATATATCAATATTCCAATTACTCGTATATAGAATATTCTGCACTATTTCTATTATATCTACTTTCACTATTTTATTGTGTTACACTGTTGGAGTAGCCTGGGACCTAAGATTGTCATCGTCATAACTACACTGTAGCTATGTACAAATGACAATAAAAGCCTTGAATCCTTGAATTGAATATTGTTAATTGAAGTCCTTTAAAACAAGGTAGGCTAATGTATTTAAGAAATGTATGTTGTTGTGTTTCTTTAAATTCATCAAAGACATGAACAAAGGAAAGGAAAATCCAGAATGTGTGACTGTAAAAAGTGTGACATGCCTGCCTTTTCCTACCTGCCTCTCTCCCTGCCTTTGCACTCATTGCCCGATACTCCAGTCTTTCAAAATATGCTAGCTTGACATCTGTGAGTATAGTTGCCATGTTTGTTGTTTACATCCATCATGATATGTTTACGTTTAATGGGAGTGGCTTTAGAGGGAGGCCTGAAGAGACGGGCTGTGGCCAAGTTTCTCACTAGATTTTGCAACATTTGGCACTAGTGATGTTAGCTACTTTAACTGTAAGAGTTAGCTGTTGTTTTTGATTGGAGGATTTTCTATAACGCTTGTTGGCTTCTCCAATGTTACTGATCTTTAGCACTAAAAACATATTTTTCTTTGACTAGTTTCTGACATTTTCTAAATTAAACGATTCATCTATTCATTAATACACTGTTTATATATATGTGGTATAAAGGGATTCACACAGCTGTTTATAAAAGGTCCTATATAGAAGCAGTTTGCTAAGATCAAGCCTATTTGAGTTGTGCTTTATTATTAAGTCCTCATGTATTGTGCAGGACCCTAATCGACTGTCTGTCTTCAAGGTAATCTATTTATGGAGCTCTAATCTAGTCACTGCGCAGTCATCTTCCGTCGTTAGCCCCTCACACTTACCGATGACGATGCCTCCGATGGCGCCAGCCTTCTGGATGTGTCGGGCCTTCTCTGCGAACATGCACTGGCCCCTCTGAAGCAGGGCGATGCGGCCCCGCACATACTCAGGGTTGGTGATCTCGCTGCAGCCGCTGTAGGGTTCTGCCACCGTCACAAAACCTCGTAACTGGGGAAGAGACAGGAGGAGGAATTATTGCAAATAATAATGAAACAAGTTTTCAAATAAGGTGCTGCAGTTGTCCACATGTTCTCCTCTGGTGCTAAAACCATGTACACTTGAATCAGGAGGATATTGTAGAAGAGGAAGAGCCCTCTTACAAACGCCAGGAAAAAAGTGACAGCCCCGGACTGAATGCCCGCTCAAAACCTGGCAGCTTGGCAAAACTACTCAAACTACTCACTCCTGTGGCACTTTTGGACAGGTCGATGCCAAACTGCGCTGGGCCGGCGGTCAGCACCACCCTGCCAAAGAACGGATCTGAGACGATCTGAATGGCTCGGGGCGGCAGCTGCTCCTTCTGCTGCTGGCTGGACAGCTCCATCATCTCCTGCATGAAGCGCACGCCGTCCTCTGCCGCTACCGCACTCACCGCCTGGGAGCGGAGAGGAAGAAGAGAGAGGGTTTAAAAAAACAATGCTGTAGAGTTTAAATAACTACTTGTACATGCATGTACTGTTTATGCAAAAGTGTTTAAAAAAGTAAAGTTTTACTGAAAATAAATGAATTTGAGCATTTACAATTAATCAAGATTTTTTGGATTCTCCGTTTACCGTGGAGGCCTGCTTTCTTTACAAATCCAAGGTAACAAAGGGTAAGTCATTGAAATACAATTGGTCATTTTGTGGGTGAAGTATTCCTTTAACAACAATATGCACTTAATTGCTCTTTTTGACAAACAACTATTGACATTTTGAAAATGTGTTTTTTCTTCATATTAGAGATAGCATTGTATGTTTTTAGAGGTATCTTGCTGTACATTCGTATGTATATACTGGTGAAGAAACATTATAGAATCATTACTCCCCTTTATTCTCTCAAGGATTCAAGGCTTTTATTGTCATGTGCACATTAGCTACAGTGTAGATATGGCAATTAAAAAGTTAAGTCACAGGCTCCTCCAACAGTGCAACATGCAACATACGGTAGGACATAGAACAAATAAAAAAAATAGTATAATATCTAATACAAAACTGCCAAGAGCATACGATTAATAGACTTAAAAGATTATTTCATGCCTTGGATTCAGTGTCTTTTAATCAGCCACTAAAGAGGATATGTAGATGTGTCCCCTTGTTGATAGACAGCGTACCTGTGTAGCATGCTGCACCAGCTGCACCCTGCCATCTTTCAGGTGGATGAGAGTGACGCCCATCCTCCTCAGCAGCTCCAGATGCTCGGGGTTGTTTGCCATGAAGTCCTGCGCCCTGAGGGGAGGACGGCCCATTCCAGGCTCCCTGACAGGAGGGAAAGGAGCCAGAAGTTAATAACATGGAAGAGATACAGCATTACAGAAAGTAGATAACAAGGGCAGGCACATAACCTGGTCAGTGTGTTTGCATACCTGTAAGGAGCAGCACGGGGGCAGCTCTTATCCACAGCAGTACGGATTGGTTCCCTCAGATGACGAGGGTATGCGGGGTCAGGAAACAGGAGGCGAGTGTTAGGGCACGTCCATTCAAAGTTAGAGTCGTCCATCTCCTCCTCTGACTGCAGTAGGAGTATAATACAGATTCTGTTAGGAACTGATATATACAGGCTTTCATTTAAAGGTCCCCTATTATACTGTTTTTTATTATAGGTCTCAGATATATACAAAACATGTCTCTGAAGTGTTTGGCTCCACACAGATCATTGTAGCATTACCCATAATCCTCTCTGTTTCAGCCCTGTTTCCAAAGTGCTGATTCTCTGTCTGTTACTTTAGATGAAAATAAGGAGCCCCTCCCCACGCCCCTCTGAGAGAGATTTGGTTAGAAAGAACACAATGGTGCTCTAGGAGGAGATTCAGATGATAAGGTGGGGGGGGGGTTTACCTTGGCTGGTGATTGGCTAATGGTTACACAAGCCAACAAATCTCTATGACATCATAGAGTGGCCAAAATCTGATCAGCTCATTTTCAGACAGGTTTTTATAGAAATGGATCAGGTCAAAAAGAGAGAGAATCTTGAAACTTTCAGAATCTCTTTCCACAGAGGGGACACATGTTGATGTAGAAAAGACATGAAAAAGTGGATTTTGCATAATAGGTGACCTTTAAAGTCATATTTTAATTGTTACTGTATGGAGTACCGTTCTGTTTGAGGGAATAGACTGCGAGTGAGGCGTTGTGGAGAGTGACAGGGGCAGGAGGTGAGCCTCGGTTGTGAAGATGTAGTCCTCGATGTCAAACGGTAAATCCTCATCATCAGCAAACAGCAGGAAGAGGTATTTAAACATCTCAGCAAGGAAGAACGAGTCCATCCTGATACAAGGGAAGAGGTGAGAGGTTATAACTGTTGGTTAATTGATCAGATAATCATGTAGGGCGTTGCAGAGTAGAGCCAGACTTACTATTTGTTCACCTTATCTGCGCTGTTTTCTCCATATGTGGTACATTCATGTTTTGTAGGTCACATTTTGATATGTATTTGACTTGTTAATTCATGTATTTTTAAGCATCTTTCAAATTATTATATTATCCTTTTATTAATTTATAATACTGATTGCAGATATTTACTCTAATATTAAAATATTCCTAATAAATAATTGTAACATGTTTGAATTGCTTTTATTGTTAAAATAACCTGCTTTAGCGCCCGTTTTTTTTTTACATAACTCTTTAAATAAACACATTTGATCATTTCAAAGACCGTGGCATATGTTTGTTTGATTAAACACAAGTACTAGCCATTATGTATTATCAATTATGTATTTTAAATCTGAAATATTAACATCATTAATTCAATATTAATCCAGCTCAGTTATAGTTTAATGAAATCTAACCGATCCCACTGTTAAACCCTCCATTGCCTCACTTGCTGTGGCTTATACAATGTGTTACATCATCTCATGTAATAAATCTCACAAACACTTTATTCTTTATGTCCTCACCTGTCCTCGTGACTCCCAGTGCGCACGTCCTTCATCGCAGCGAAGCCGCAGGGAACACGAGCAAAGCGGTTGAGGTTGTCCAGGATGGTGCGACCGGCCTCCAGGTAGTAAGGGTCTCCTGTGGCCTGGGAGTAAAGAAGAAAGTTCATAACAAAGACTGTACCGTATATAAAAATAACAGAGGACAGAACATCAACGTTAGAGAAGTCTCCAGTGAGCCTTGATCAGACACAAAGATTTTCCTTCATACATATTTTACAAGACACCAGAATGCCAAAGGCAAAGTATTGAATAATGCTTATTAACTGCAGAAATGGAGATAGTGTGTCTGAAACTGTGTAATGAGTCTTTTCATAATTGCAAGTTAATGTAATTTAGCTAAATCTGGTGCCTGATAATAGGCTCTCTGTACAGTGAAAAGAGAACTCCTGCATTATGAAAGGCTTCTGTGATAAATTACCTTGTAAAGGAAATAGGTGCTCTCTGCAAACTCAGGCCTCAGGGGATGTTGGGCCCAGTGTACCCTGAAATCAGTAGTGAAGGCCTGGGGAGAGACGGAGAAGGACAAAGGGGTCAGCACAGCATTCAAAGCATCGTAATAAGAACAGACAGACGAAGCTAAAAAGCAGCCGTGTCGTGTGAAACGCAAGCTGGTTCTCTTCCAAACAGTTACAGTTGGAGACACAAGCCATATGGGGTTACTAATACTCCACGGTCAAATGAAAAGACACCAAGTGACTTTTTTGTAGAGCAGTTTATACCTATTTTCATGTTGGTTACACAAAGACAGATTACCTCGGGGAGGAAGTTGTGTTTCTTTGTGACTTGATACAGCATCTCATGTGTCTCGATGGCAGGACGGATATCTCCCTTCAACACCTGCAGAATGAAAACAATGATTACCGAAATGGCACAACAAGCCTACATAAGAAGAGTAACACCTTCAATATCTATGATCCAATCTGACCTGCAGTCCAGGGAAGAAGGCCAGCAGAGAGTCCATCCAGGTGCGAGCGGGGAGCAGAGGTTTGTGGATGTGAACGTCCAGCAGCAGCGGGGGCTGGCTGATGTACTTCATTATAGATGCATAGTGCTAAATGAGGCATACAAAGCAGAACGATTGAGGATATAAAACAGCATGTGGTGCTCGGTGATATACACAAAAATAACTTGTTGCAATTATTTTGACTGATATTGCAATTGGGATATGTTTCACGATATTAGAGGTAGTGATCATTTTGCATCTTTATCATTGATAAATATTTGATACAGATCATAAAATAAATAAATCATGGTGGGATGTTTTAATATGGGTACTAGTCTCAAGAATATTCATTCATTTGTTAACCTATATAACATATATTCTGCTTCCTTCTTTTCAATTATTGCACTAGTCCATATTGAAATGTTGATTAATGATGCAGCCCCAGAGGAAAAGTATTTAATTTAATTTTGGTGCTGGAAACGAAATCCTGAAATGCACAATCTGAAAAGTGTAGCGCCGCGTTGAGAAAATGCTATTATGCAATAAGAGGCATCAAATTACTCTGTATGAATATGTGTGTGTGTGAGTGTGTGTGTTTGTCCTCACAATATTGAACCGCTGCAGAAATTGGTCATCTCCCAAGAGGACGTAAGCCTTTAGCAGGTATTCATAGTAAGAGTCGATTCCCGCTCCTACTCCGCTGTCTGGGGACACACAACCATACATCACTTTAAAAGACATATCGGATGTTTTCTATTTTTACCCGTCAACCCAATCCCCTCTCACCCAGACAGAAAGATATACTTATACCTAATACACACTTTCCCATGTCCTTGTTTACGTCTACATATGAACAACTCTCCCCTCAGGTCCCCTCTCCCCTTCTCTCACCCCTGCGGACCCACTCTCCGGAGTGGATGTTGATGGTTGTTCCCACCAGGTTGCTGTTTCTCTGTCTCTTCTCCCACAGAAAGTCCATAGCTCTCCGGGCATGAGCCTGTGAGGAAGGGAGCATTATTGATTTTTAAAAAGTGAAAAAATCTATCCGCAGTAGCTGTCTGCTGTGAGAAAGACTATAGTGATTGGCTCTGTGCTTGATCAGCAGTCTGCCGCTGCCAGGATGTGAACCAGTAACAGGCTCTCATACCATTGCACAGGGTAAAATATCTAACACTGTTTCATAATACCTCCGCAGATACAGGTTCCCTACCTACCCATCATTATCTGCACATTTAAATGTACAGTACCAGTCAAAAGTTTGGACACACCTTCTCATTCAATGGTTTTTGTTTATTTAAAAATGTTTCTACTTTGTAGATGAATACTGAAGACATCAAAACTATGAAAGAACACATGGAATTATCTAGTAAACAAAAAACTTTTAGATTCTTCAAAGTAGCCCCCTTTTGTCTTGATGACAGCTTTGCACACTCTTGGCTTCTTTCAGTCAGCTTCATGAGGTCGTCGCCTTGAATGGTTTTCAATGAACACGTGTGCCTTGTCAAAAGTCAATTTGTGGAATGACTTGCCTTCTTAATGTGTTTGAGACCATCAGTTGTGTGCAGAGGCAGTGGATAGCCCTATTTGACCACTGTTGTAATCCATATTACAGCAAGAACCACTCAACTCAGTAAAGAGAAACGACCGCCCTGTTAAGAAATGAAGGCCAGTCGATCCGGAAAATGTCAAGAACTTTGAATGAATCCTCAAGTGCAGTCGCAGAAACCATCGAACGCTATGATGAAACTGGCTCTCATGAGGACCCCCCCCAGGAAAGGAAGAGCAAGAGACACCTCTGCTGCAGAGGATAAATACATCAGAGTTACCAGCCTCAGAAACCGCAAATTAAAAGCACCTCAGATTAGAGCCCAAATAAATGATCACAGAGCAGTAGCAGATCTCAACATCCACTGTTCAGAGGAGACTGCGTGAACCAGGCCTTCATGGTCCAATCGCTGCAAAGAAGCCACTACTGAGGGTGAACAACAAGAAGAAGAGACTTGTTTGGGCCAAGAAACCCAAGGATTGGACATCAGACCAGTGGAAATCTGTACTTTGGTCTGATGGAGTCCAAATTGAGGTTTTTTTGTTCCAACCTCAGTGTCTTTGTGAGACACAGAGAGGGTGAGCGGATGGTTTCTGCATGTGTGGTTCCCGCCGTGAAGCATGGAGGAGGAAGTGTGTTGGTGTGGGGGGGGGGCTTTGCTGGTGAGACTGTTGGTGATTTATTCAGAATTCAAGGCACCAGCATGGCTACCACAGCATTCTGCAGCGCCATGCCATCCCATCTGGTTTGCTCTTACTGGGAAGACAATGACCTCAAACACATCTCCAGGCTATGTGAGGGCTATTTGACTAAGAAGGAAAGTGATGGAGTGCTGCGTCAGAGGACCTGGCCTCCACAATCACCTGACCTCAACCCAATTGAGATGGTTTGGGATCAGTTGGACCGTAGAGTGAAGGAAAAGCAGCCAGCAAGTGCTCAGCTCCTCTGGGAAGTCCTTCAAGGCGGTTGGAAAACCATTCCAGGTGACGACCTCATGAAGTTGACTGACACTTTTTTGTATACTAGATAATTCCATATGTGTTCTTTTATAGTTTAGATGTATTCAGTATTAATCTACAATCTAGAAAATAATTAAAATAAATAAAAACCTTTGAATGAGAAGTTGTATCCAAACTTTTGACTGGTACTGTAAGCCGACAAAATGTAGCTAAACAAGCTAGACGTGTTTTTAAAAAATTGTCAATGATAGGTAATATGTCAAAGATTCTCCATAAGAATGACATCGCAGTAGATCCACAAGCTTAGTTTTGTCTGTTCTAATAGTTTTGTTGATATGTATTTAGCTGAGTTGATAACATTTAAGTCATTATTCCAAATAACAATTGTTGGTAACACTTTGTATTAAGGTACACACATTCACCATCAACTAGTTGTTAATTAGCATGCATATTAGCAGTATATTGGCTCTTTATTAGTCATTATAAAACACTAATTAATGCCTTATTCTACATGACCATATTCTACAAGTAATAGTCCATTAGTTGAGAGTTTTTCCTCAATAACCCTCTAATTAGTGCTTATTTATTGCAAGTAAGGAAGTTGTTGTACATGAGTTTTGGTATTAATATGCGCTGCTCAATATGGGCCTAATAAGGCAGTGGTACCACAAGAATAGTTATTCTCCCATAATAACACTTAACAAATATGATCTATTCTTATGCATCAAGACATGCAACTATAAGTGTTAATTAAGTCTAAATAACTCGAAATTAGGTGTTTATATCTAAGAAAATGTTCCCTATTTTACAGTGAAGTCTTGTTCATAAACAATAAGCTAGTAGTTTGACTCTAATTAGGTGTTTATATCTAAGAATAGTATGGAGGCTAAAATATCGCCCCTCATACATAATACTTTACTTGGCAGTATACTTCTGTTCACACTGGTGACAAATGACATCATGACTGTTGGGAAATAGTTTTGTTCCCTAAATATGTGGTCAAATTAAAAAATGAACACTTTTGACATCTGCATTTAAAAGCAGTGCTATTTACATGATAAATCACAACATGATCATATAGCTGTAATAGCAAGATATTTTAATGTAGTTGTTGATTTGATACCTCAAAGACAGGATCCCCAGTGAAGCGACTTAAGGCGGCAAACTCCAGGATGAGGGTTCCAGCGCACGCAGTGCAGGTGTCTGTTTCTGTGCCTGTTCTCGTCTCAGGACCCCTGACACCGTGTCTCAAGTTCACCTGTCAAGCAGAAGAAAGACAACCATTAAACTATCTGTTATAAGAGTCGCATTTGTTCTGCAAGAAATATTTGCATGATCACTAGTCAGACAAGAAATGTTCCAAAGCTGCCAGCAGAGAAGTGGAACACAAAATGTTAATGATGTGGTCATGAGCTGAGAGGTTAGTAGTGTCATTTTAAAATGTTGCAAGCCAGGAAAAGTTGTTCTAAAATCTTAAAGGTCCCATGTCATGGCCATTTCTACTTATCATAATTCCATTGTTGAGGTCTACTAGAATAGATTTACATTGTTCAATGTTCCAAAATCACATTGGTTTCTCATACAGCATCTCTGTATAGTATGTGTATTCACTCTCTGTCCTACACGCCTTGTTGGAGCTCCTGCCCCCCCCCTCCCTATGAGCCCACTGTGCTCTGATTGGTCAGCTCGCCCACTCTGTTCTGATGAGTCCACCACCGTTACAGCGGAACATCAGTGATTATGTGTTACAATAATTTTTGTAAAGCACCTTGAATTGCCTTGTGTTGAAAGGTGCTATATAAATAAACTTGCCTTGCCTTACAATGGTGTTTGTTAGCAGCAACCATAAAATGACACCAGTAATGACAAACAGATGAGAATGCTGCGTGGGGTCTGGGTGCCGTGTTTGCGGGACGTTGCGGGGCTCGCTGCTCTGCCCTTTGAGGCTCGAGGAGCGGACAGTGTGAGCCGGAATACTGGTGTTGTTTCCTGGTTACTGCGTGGGGTCTGCGAGACAGCGAGACACTGCGGAACTCAGCCTGAGCGCACACACACACACACACACACACACACACACACACACACACACACACACACACACACACACACACACACACCACACACGACACACACACACACACACACACACACACACACACACACACACACACACACACACACACACACACACACACACACACACACACACACACACATACACACACACACACACACACACACACACACACACACACACACACACACACACACACACACACACACACACACACACACACACACACACACACACACACACACACACACACACACACACACACACACACACACACACCACACACACACACACACACACACACACACACACACACACACACACACACACACACACACACACACACACACACACACACACACACACACACACACACACACTGCCAGGCTGTGTGTGCGTGAGGAGCTCCGCGGATTGGTCCAAATGACGTCACTCACTATGACCATTACGTCACTATACTCAGGAAGAAAAAGAAAAAAAAATATCTCCAACGAGGCGTTCTGGGGCAGCATAGACAGGTCTTTTCTGTGTTAGAGTTTTACTCTTTGTGACTCTGAAGACATGCAGAAAAAGCTACATAACACACAAGGGGACGGGTAATAACCGGAAAAGCATGTCATGTGACCTTTAAGTGTTTTTATGTGCTGAACACAATATTCACTGACTTCTCTCACTGCAACTGAGTGGGTTCACCTCATCTAGAGTAGCTACATTTATTTACAATAAAGCATATTCACAAGTGGAATAATAGAACTACAAAAAACAACTATGTGTAACATTCTTGTTAATTATCCCCACATTAGACTGTCGACAGTGCGTGTAGGTTTGATTCTGAGCTTGATTTGGGTTGGATTCTGTATTGTGTGCAGTGGTCTCACCCTGGGATAAGGCAAGCCGCTGCTGGTGTTGAAGGCTGGCAGCAGGCGGAGGCCCAGGTCTTTGGCCATATGCAGGAGCTCATCCTGGTACCACTGCATGTTCTGACCTCCGTCCTTCAGCATCACAGCCATGGAGTGCCCTCCCAACAAGCCTCTGAACAGAGACACGACCAAGAGCCACATTAAGAATTAAGTACATCATATATAATACGATTACAGAGGGAAACTTTTAAAGAACGATGGACACCATTGGTGGAGGTAACTAATAGGGGGGAACTGGGATTAATAATGGAAGGATTATAAAGGCTGCATTACAAATGACTGTGACACCACACAAATAATATAATATGGCTTCTTTCAAATTAGGAATTATTATTTTTGAAATATTCTGGTACATGGATATTTTTCCTAAGTATATTGGACTGTATTATTGTAATATGTAGGATGACCTTATATATAACCCATATTTTATTTTTGTTATACCTGTGTTATTTACATTCTCAGTGTTAATATTGATTTGATTTCTATAAGTTTTGTTTTTCATATTCTCATGTTGAATTTCTTGGATTTGAGACCTTCTACATGTTGTGACCCCTTGTTAAAGAAACTAAATTGGAGTACTAATGGATGTAAAGGGGAATGTGAGAAAATAACTAATAAAGAATATGTTTGAATAAAATAAAATTTAAATTTAAAAAAAGAATGACATCATAAGAGGTATTTGTTAAAGATCCCATGTCATGGCCATTTCCACTGATCATAATTCCATTGTTGAGGTCTACTAGAATAGATTTATACTGTGCAATTTTCCAAACTCACTTGGTTTCGCATACAGCATCTCTGTAAAGTATGTGTTTTCAGCAGTATTCACTGTCTCCACTAAACGGCTCGTTGCAGCTCTTACCCCCCCCCCCCTGTGAGCCCAGTGTGCTCCGATTGGTCGGGACCAGTCGGGACGTTGTGAATCGCGCTGAGCTCCGTGGAGGTGTGATTTCCTTGTTTAGCGATACACAGCCAAACTCACCCTGAGCACACACAAAGTCACAGCCGAAGTAAAAACAATAAGTGTGGCTTGATATTGAGGAAGAAAAAGGTTGATAAACGCTGTGAGAATGGGTCTGCAGAGAGAATTTCGCCGCGATCCCAACTGTCTGTTATCAGCCTGCAGCCAGGGAGGAGAAATCAGCAGAGCTGCCTGCACTGAGTGTGTGAGGAAGTCCGTGGATTGGTCAATTTGGACCAATCAGCGGGGGCTTAACGTAACGGCTCCGCGGACGTAACGTAACGGCTCCGCGGACGTAACGTAACGGCTGAACGGATTGGTCCATTTCGTTCCGGGGACGACATGACGTCATGATGTACCAGGAAGAATCAAATGGACAGTGACATATCTCCAACGAGGCGTTTTGGGGAGGTATTTTCTGTTTTAGAGTTTTACTTGCTACAGGGTGTACTTTGAGGGTTTTGACTCTGCACACCGTTTACATGCATAAAAACCTTCATAACACACAAGGGGACGGGTGATAACCGGAAAAGCATGACATGTCACCTTTAACCATTGACATGTGTTGATAGTCTGATCCAATCTCACCCAAGCACTCGTATGTTGGTTTCAAAAACCGACACCACAATGTCGTTGTCCAGCCTCACATCTTTCAGCACTCTTCTCACTGCCGCCTCGAACTCTGTCGTCTTGTTCAAAAGCTGTCAATCAGAAAAAAACATTACTATAAAATCAGGTTTAAGTACAAGGCATTTCATAGTTTAAAAGTGGAGTGAAAGACTCAAGATAGTCTTAAAACAACTGCCCTTAATAATACTAAATGAATGGCTTTGTTACATTTTGGATCAAAGCACAAAGGATGTCTGCACAAGGCTCTGAATAAATAGTTTATTTCTCTTTTCAAGACTTCATTGAGGTCTGCAGTTCAGTATTTTTTGTCTTGTAATTGTATAGCCAAATCCATACATTTCTCCAATTTCATCAATACTTTCACAGTATTCTGTCCTTTTCAAATAAATAATGACTGCAAGACAACAAAACATGGAAAATACCCACCACTAGAGTATCCAGAGTGTCTATGAGCGTCAGAGAGAACCTGTCGGAGAGAGACAAATATATTTAGCAAGGGAGTTGATTTTGAATCACAATAATTAATGCATTTAGAATGAATGTAAAAGTTATGTAATATACAATTATAAGTACAGACTTCCACCTCTGCCAGGAGCTCAACCAGGCGTGGTTATGTGTGTGTGTGTGTGTGTGTATGTGTGTTGACCCATGTCATAATTGCTCTATTATTGCATTAGATCTTAAGGAACAGCGCGTTACTCACTTTCCTAAAGCGTCGTCCACGTCACCTCGACTGGGTTCAAGCCCACGCACTCTTCCTCTGCACGTTAGTGGCATCAGCTCATCTGCTGGGTACGCGTGGTCCTGAGAAACACAAGGCAAGTTTATTTATATAGCACTTTACTGTACGCGACAAATCAAAGTGCTTTACAAAACAAATTAAAAGACAAAACATAATTTAAACACCATGCACCATAAATGTTTGTCTTTTCAATAGTAGGCCAGCTCAGTCTGATTGTTGTAAATCTCCCTGTCTTTATCTGTTTTATTGTATTACACTGTTGGAGGAGCCTGTGACCTAAGATTTTCATTGTCATAACTTCACTGTAGCTATGCACACATGACAATAAAAGCCATGAAAGTTGATCCTACTTAACGCCTGAAATCAGCCGCTCAGTCTCTCTCCCGTGTCTGTGGCAGCGTGCTCTCTTCACCAGTTGACACATTATTTGAGTAAGTTGTGATTATGTTTTATAGTTATTAATAGCTTGTTTAGGCTTAACCGGCTAAAGCAATATTTGATTTGTTTGTAACCAAGTGTTGTAGCTCTTCCTGATGTGTGTTTATATTCTAGTCTTAAAATCATCATCACCTTTAACTGTGACAGTCAAGTGCTGTGAAGGTAATAATTAATTAAACCGCTCTCATCGTGGGTCCTCGTACTTTGACAAGGCAGAGGCACTTTAGGCAACTCTCCAACTAAGTTCAATTACAGTCTAGTTTATACACTGATCTTAAAGCTGCCATAACAATCTACATGATACTTGAAAGAAAAATCCAAAAAGCCAGCATCGACTATAAATTATCAAAACTACAAACATCACATCTTATATTACAATAGATATGCTTTACTCTATTAATTAACTGGTTTGGGAAGGGATGCAAAAGAGAACCGTTCTGATCACTTGATAATCTTATCTGGAAACAAATTGAAATATCAAGGCTGCATGCAACAAAAATACAGCTGTAGGTAGTGGAAGTAGATATTTACTTACCATATAATTCTGATAGGCATGGTCAAACATCTCAACCACTTGGTTCCTTTAGGGAGGGGAAAAACACAAACAAAAGTCAGCATTGTTCAATTGTTTTCAGTGTGAAAATGTATTGTTTGCTCATGGGAACTGTCTGATTTCTCTCAACTCACCTCAAGCGGCTTTTCTCCTCTCGTGACATGCTCTCTCCGAGGCCGCATAATGCTCCAAGCAGCATTAATGAGAACAGTACAGCCGGCATTGTGGTAGGCGGGCAAGATCGCAGCAATATGCATAAACTACCGCTCTCAGTCAGACCCAGAGCAAATACCTAGTCATAACCACTGCCCTAACCAAACGCCCGAAACTAACCAGTGTTATACCTCTGAGATCATTTTAAAGCACGTTTGGCTTTGCCTAAGATATACCACTTAATCATCTACAGGCACAGAAAGCTTCACAGAATAATGCTAGTAGGTTGCTGAATCTTGGCCACTGACACAGCGTCCTTGTTTATCAGCGAACATCGAAAACAGCAATATTATTCCTATTGTGACTATGTATGAAGTGCACTTAAACTGCAATTAAATAGGAATGTTGTTATTTCAAGTAACCAGATATCAAGGTGTGATTGACAGAGATGTACCAGACATGAGGACTAGTGCAAAGTTGCTGTGCGCAGGTTGGTGAGTCACACCTGCTTATTTCTCCAAAGTGTCAGGTGTGACACGTTGACATAACCACGTTTCATGTAACTCTCACCTAAAGCAAACCGGTTATCCCAAGTTAACCCTGCAATGTAAACATGACAATAATATTATTTCCTAGATGTAGTCTTATAGCAACAGCGATGAAGGAAACAATTGCGTTAACACGACACACCTTATCTAAGACTCACTGTAAACCAAAGAAAGCACAGCACACCAACCCTTATGTTGTTTGTGTTGAAAAACCCACTCGTTTACAACACAATCAATTAATATACAAGTCAAACCAATAACCCATTTGGAAACGACTTGTTCATACCAGTTCCTGTTATCACTCTGGTGTGTCAAACCTTTTTTAGATATTATAAGTTAATGATGTCCTCCTCTTTGACAGTTATCTTCAGGTTATCGTTGTCAGGGTTTAATTAGCCTGTTAGCCTGTTAGCCAGCCGCGCTATAACTAGCCGATCTCGTGATAATGGACAGATCGATAACGCGAGAAAAATCCACAAAAAACGCGTCCATTGTAGAGCAACGCACCTGTGCGATCTGTTTTGTCTGTTCCTCTGTTTAAAAGTGTAATAATTCCGCCGTAAGAAGCTGTTACGCCAAGCTACCCTGTCTAAAAAAACCGGATGACGATAAAACGTCAACAACATCCGCTTCCTGGATCCTTGTGGCATGTACTACGCCCTGAGTTTAGTTTTTCAGGCAAAGATTCCTCGCAGGCTGAGAAAAATATCGCCCCGCCTTCGATGGGATATTGCACTCCTAACTTTAGATTTGACTGTAGTCATTCAACTAAACACATATAACTTTAAAAACAAGATGTGTGTTAGGATTCGAATTTTTTGGACAAGAGGTTTGATAATTTACCTGAAAGTCTACATTTGGGAAAGGAATAGTCAATAATAACCTATTCTCCCTTGTGTTGCCTTTTTTTTTTACATTTATCATGCCATATTATTTTTTAACACTTGGTGCCGGGGGTTAGCTGCACAGGGTGTATGAACAGGGCCACAGGTGACAGGGTGTGCACAGGATACAGGGAGAGAGCGCGCATAGTCGCTCTGACAATTTCAAAACACTGACTGGAGGATTCATCCGTGGTATTGTACAACTCTGAATGAAATCAATGCTAAACTGCATTCAAAGACAGGAAATCATCTGTTATGTGTCTGGATAACTCTAACCTGTGTAGTAATGGCAACGGAATTCATTGCCATGACAATCAGCGTCTTATTTTTTTTTAATGTGTAAGGCTACTACACTTGTTTCCCTTTCACTGGGATTCACATGCTCATTTCGATCAGCTTCAGTGGCATTTCTTCAGAAAACATGTTTTAGTGCAGATATAGAATTATAGATACTACCTCATGTAGGCCTATTTTATAATAATAACAACATTATACCATAATCACTATTGTTTTAAATCAATAAAACAACTATTGATGTTTTTAGCCGCTTGTTTTTACACACCACAAAAAAAAGGCTATTTGGATTTCATCACGATTAACCATACTGTTGCCCTCAGGCAACAAACCACTTTTTTCGACCTCACTCTGGCCCTCTAAATATTTTTATTTTTTTAAATATACACAATGTCACCTGACATGCTGGTGTCCAATAAAATGAGGGAATTATATGGGTGTGGCATTTTGTCTGGGGGTGGAGCAGTCCTTTCTGCAAGCAAAGCTGCAGGGGACTCAGGGCCACCACTTGGTAAGATACATTTCACTTTTTAACATATTAGATATGTACACAACTTAAAATAAAAAATACATGCATGTGCATGAATACGTAAAGAAGTATATTTGATTGTTTGAAGACTTATTATGTATTTATTAATTAGCTAAAACTATGTTTTTTTGTTCGTTGCCTCAGGGCAACACTGTGCCACTTGACCACTTTTTTCCAGGCAATATCATACAAGTGTGCAAATGTGCTCAACTGTAAAATAATAAACCTAATCAATGTTTTTACCTCTACTGATATTTACAGGAAATGGACCCAAAACATGTTATGGGCAGAAGGGACACGATCAGGCTGTTAGGGCTATTCCGTCTGACAATGAGGACAGTGAAGGTCAAGATACGGTTAGGCACACAGACACATAGACACACACACACACACACACACACACACACACACACACACAGACATACACACACATACACAGACACACACACACATAGACACACATACAGACACAGAAACACACACACACACACACACACACACACAGACATACAAACACATACACACACACATACACACATCACACACAGATAGACACACACATACAAACACATACACACACAGACACACAGACACACACACACACACAGAGAGAGACACACACATACAAACACGTACACGCAAACACACACACACACACACACAGAAAACATTTTGAATTCATATAGAGTTGTTTTTTCTGAATTGTAGAAATCCTTGGTGTTTCAATACCCTCGTAGGCTAGCACAGTGTTGCCCTGAGGCAACAAACCAACCCCTGGTTGAGGGGTGAGGGGGGGGTCACATTTTATAATTGATATAATATCAGGGACCCCTAAGCTCCTAAAACACATGGTGAAACATTTTTTTCCTCCCAAAATAAAAAGTCATGCTAGAGGGTTAAAATAGAAGACGTCCTTTTTAAGTTTGTATAAGTTCACAGGTCTATCATCTTAAAATATACTAACAAGAAGCAAGCGTCAATGTTTTGTAAATTAAATAATAAAATCGAACCGAGAATGGAAACTATTGATTAAATATGAGTTTTAAGTTGTTTTTTTTAACTCGTAGGCTACTTGTTTTGTCATGTTTATTTTATTCATCAACTACATCTCCCATGAAGCTTTGCGGCGTCACCTGACGCTCAGCTGCCTTAACATCCGCCACAACACAAGACAGTGCCCAAGACGCACAGAAGGGAAAGCACGAACAGGTAGGCATGAGCTGAAATGTTATTTTAATGTAATACTTTACTTCAGTGTATTTGGATTTCCTCTTCATAATCGCTGTTAGCATGTATGTATAGTCAGGGCCGGTCCTTAGCATTGGTGTTATAGAAGTTCTCCTAGGGCGCCAGATCTGGGGATGGGGCGCTGCGCTGGCAGCTCTGGGAGGGGGAACAACATTTTTGACAGTTGGTGCTCATCCTGATTTTCGGCCTTGATGTAACAACATTCATAATTAAGTAAATGTAACACCCTTTTCACCCCGGTTACACTTTTCATTGCCCTGTACGATGGGCACTGTAAGTGATGAAAGTGAGGGATGTTGGCTTATCTGACGCCCGCCGCAGCTCACAGCCAAAGTGCGCGTGAGCGAGGGAACAAGGTACCGGTTATTAGCACCTGGTGCTAGCTGCGCTAAGGGATATAAGAAGAATATGTTTCTACAACAAAGGTGGAGGGGAGCTCTCTCCTGGCAGACTTAAATGTGCGTTTTAACAGCAATACAGTGGTTCCACTTGGAAACACGACCCTTTAGATTTTCTTTTCTTTTGTATCTAATTTGTTAGTTTATGGAAATCATGGCCTCTTCTTCTGAAAAACTGCTGACAGGTCTGGTTGCAGCTACGTTTACTCCACTAACCGAAGAAGGGTGAGTAGCCTTTTTGAATCACTTCCCTTTGTTCCATTAATCCATCTCATAAGTGTTGTATTTGTTTTTGCGAGAAAGTGTACATTATTGCACAGTCCTGTAAATCTGGAGCATCGTTTTTTTTTCTGTTTTGACACATTTTTAGAACAATATTTTCACATTTTCCCAAAACAGTGAAATCAACATAAAAGAGATCGGACCTTATGTTGACTACTTGACAGAGAGGCAAGGTGTTACAAAGATATTTGGTAAGTTTACAAGTGTAATTTTACTTTTATTATTTGTAAATATATCTGTTGCAATCTGAATCAAATGCATAGTGTTACATGATTTATGTTTCACCTTGTTAGTTTGTATGTGTACATTTTGTTGGTCCTGTGTTAACCGTGTTATCCCTCCTTTCGGGTTGAAAAGCAATACCCAACTTCCGTTAGGTGTTAGCAGAGGTGGGAGAAGTACATCTTGTACTTGAGTAAAAGTAGAAGAACCAGAGTGTAGGAAAACTCGAAAAAGTCCTACATTCAAAATGTTACTTAAGTAATATTACAAAAGTATAAGCATCAAAATATACTTAAAGTACCATGAGTAAAAGTACTTTTTACCCAAATTGGTTTGTTTCAGAATAATATATATCATATGTTTTAATAATAAATATTGATTCATTAAAGTGTTCTCAAAGCTGGTAAAGGTGGAGCTAGTTTGAATGACTTTGTATACTGCAGGGTAGATTTCGAATTTACTCCAGGTGTAGCTAAAGTCTGATTTAATTGTTTATATTTTACATTATCAATCCAAATCAGCAAAGTAACTAACTAAAGGTATTAAATACATTTAGTGGAGTAAAAGTACACGATTTACCTCTGAATTGTAGTGGGGTAGAAGTACAAAGTAGCAAAAAATGGAAATACTCAAGTAAAGTAGACGTACCTCAACATTTTACTTAATTATAGTATAAGTATGTAGTTACTTTACACCACTGGTTGTTAGTTTAGATTATATTTGCTCAGACAGCAATACAAAAATCAGTTTTCAACACACTGTAACTGACACATATTGCTTCATAGTGAGACTCGCATAATAATTTCCTCAAAACATGCACATTTCCTTGTTTTTAGTGCAGACACATCTCATTAAAAGACACATCAGCTGGAATTATTCTCCCTAATATTCCATTTAAAATATGTATTTCAAAAACAATTATCTCAAATAATGACATTATAGCACTATCCCTGTGCTTTGTGGATTAATGCTTACATGTTGCTCACCAAATTACTACAAATGTCTTTAGGCCTTGCAAACAAGTTGAAGGCATTATCTGTCATTTGAAATGCAAAAAAAAAACAGTTTAAATTCATATAATTTCCCAGGAAAAGCAGATTAGAAAGCCTTACTTTTAGTTATGTGTTGCTCTTCAGTTAACTTAGTGTTAAATGACCTTTCTGGCAACAAAGGAATGTATTATTTTTCCTCTTGCTTTGTTTGGTATTTGTTTGCTCATTGTCCCTGGAACAGAAACACAGAAAAGATCAAATCAGTATAGAGAGATAAAGGGTGTTTCTCAATCGCGAGTAAAGCTGCTCCAGAGCCACTATTTCAAGCATACTACACTGAACAAAAATATAAATGCAACACTTTTGTTTTTGCTCCCATTTTTCATGAGATGAACTCAAAGATCTAAAACATTTTCTATATACACAAAATAACCATTTCTCTCAAATATTGTTCACAAATCTGAAAAAATCTGTGATAGTGAGCACTTCTCTTTTGCCGAGATAATCCATCCCACCTCACAGGTGTGGCATATCAAGATGCTGATTAGACAACATGATTATTGCACAGGTGTGCCTGTGTCATCGAAAAATGCCTTCAACGCTTCGCCCATTCACTTGAATGGGGTGACGTAGTTGATTTTGAATCTTCGCCGAACTGCATTGTGGGGAGCGGAGCGTGGCTTTGCAAGCATCGCGAGCATCAAAAGTTGAGCAATGTTCAACTTTTGCGGCTCGATGCTTGGCATCAGCCAATCAAATCCCGTTTATGCAATTCCCGCCAGTACAAGCGCTAGCCAATCAAACCGGGTGTATGCTGATACCGCAGGTCTTGACTATTTTCCATATGTCATCAAATGGAGGATAAATTAATCATTGCCGTGGCAAATGTCCCAGTCCTGTATGACTGTACTCTGTTCACCTACCGGGACCTAAACCGGAGGAACCAGGCATGGCGGGAGGTGGCAGAGACAGTTGGTGAAACTGGTAGGTTTTCAACTGTTTGGGGAGTTTATATCCAGTTTACTTCATTTTAACATTAAATGGACAGCTAGTAATGTAGCATAACATATAATATATATTAATATAATAATAAAAAAATAATATTATAAGCATAATATATAATCTTATATCTTAATATAATATATTAATATACTAATATATATATATATACCAATAATATATTATATATATGTATAATATACCAATATTACCCTTAATATATAACATAACATATAATACATGCACAGCTATCAAGCATAGACAGTATATTTAGCCAGCATGGAATGTAGCATAAAAATAGCATTCATTAATGGAGGAATAATTTAGTAAATTCAAGAAATTAACTTTATTATTTATTAACTTTATTATTTCATTTCATTTTATTAGAGGATGTGTGCAAAAAGAGATGGAAGACTCTGAGGGAAAGGTTCCGCAAGGAGAAGAATATGGAGAAGGAGGCAAAAAGAAACGGGGCAGGGTACAAGCCCTGGCGTTTCATGGCAGTGATGGGGTTTTTAACCCCATTCATCATAGACCGTGAGACGTCCAGCAATGTCCCCCGGCAGACCCTGCCTCCATCCACCCTGGTGGCAGAGGAAGAGAGCCAGGTAGAGAGTGAGCCAGCCAGTCAGCCAGCCAGTCAGCCAGCCAGTCAGCCAGCCAGTCAGCCAGCCAGTCAGCCAGCCAGTCAGCCAGTCAGCCAGCCAGCCAGTCAGCCAGTCAGCCAGCCAGTCCACCAGTTAGCCCGCAGCAGCCAGCCAGGTGGAGAATGCTGAGGTCCGGGGGAAAACACGGGGGAGGGAGAGGGAGATGTCCCCGTTCGAAAGAAGTCTGCTGTCTGCTGTCAGCAATTACCCAGCAATTGCCCAGCCAACCCCACCAGTGGTGGAGGAGGACGAGGACTTGCAGTTTTTTAAGAGCTTCTTGCCCACCATGAGGCTGATGACAAGGGGACAGAGGGCAAGAGTCCGCCTCGGGATACACCAGCTAATTTTTTACATGGACCAGGAACATTTCTAATTTAATAATTTTTTCACACATACTGATCCACATTACATTTTTTTACACTCCAAATAAAACATTATTTAAAGTATGTTATGGCTATACTGTGTCTTCACTTGTTCATGTGGTTTGTCAGTTGCAACATACCAGAAGCTTCATGTACGTCGGTATATATAATGTGCTTTCTTCTGTAATTGTTCATGTGAAAACCTATTGAAATTATGAGTGGTTTATCAGTAAAAACAGGGCTGAAAGAAAAAGGTTGTTAGTCATATCATAATATAATAATATCAATTCAAGAAACATGTTTATTAGGAATGTTTGATTTTAAAATGGCTCTTTAAAGAAAATGGGTAGCTCTTAAAAGAGCTTTTGGTTTGGAGGAGCCATGGTGACCCTACACCACTTTATGCTGCCATGACACTACACCCTCCTCATTCAAATAGGAGCAGAAGGTCTCCCGCAGTTGGATGGATCGGCGTGTGGCGTTGTTTGAGCCCATCCTAGGTGCATCGCGCAGGGTTGGAGCTTCATCACTCGACTCTGCGACGACAGGGACGACAGGTGTGCGTGATGGCCTTCCTATTGTTTTCCTGCGGAGGAAGTTGTGCAACACACAGGTGGCCTTCACACACAACTCTGTTACCTCCGGGCTGGTGGTGATGACACGCCGGAACATTCTCCACTGTGATGCGAGGATGCCAAACGCACATTCAACAACCAACCTGGCCCGGTTGAGGTGGTAATTGAACAGCCTCCTTTCACGCGTGATCTGGCGTCCAGGGAACGGACGCAGCAGCGGAAAAGCCTCATCCCCAACAAACACATGGGGAAGAAGGCCCAGCCGCTCTGCTCCTGGGATGACGGTGTCAGGTGGTAGCTGCAGACTGCCATCTCGGAGGCCCTCTCCAAAAGCGGAATTCCGCAGGCTCCCACAGTCGCTGCTCCTTCCAAAACCTCCGACATCCACTACCCTGAAGATGTACTGGGCATCCACTACAGCCAGTAGTACCAAGGAGTGGGTGGACTTGTAGTTGAAGTACAGGGACCCAGAATTTGCCGGAGCCTGGATCACCACGTGCTTCCCATCAATGGCACCAACGCAATTCAGAAAGTTCCAGCGCTCCTGGAACCTAGCAGCGATGGCTCTCCAGTCCTCCGTCTGTGGTACCGGCATGGTCTCCTCGACCAGCGCGGTCCAGATGGCACCCGCAACCTCCTTCACGATGACAGCCACTGTTGCATGCCCGACCCGATAGCTGAATGCTATGGTCCTGTATGAGTCACCGGTTGCCAGGTACCTGAGAAAAAAGTAATATACATGATTTTTAAAAATGTCATACGCCACGCAGACGCAGATCCCCCCCCCCCCCCACACACACTACACAGACACACAGACACACACACACACACAGACACAGACCACAGACACACACACACCACAGACACAACCACAGACACCCACACAGACCACAGACACACCACAGACACAAACACACACATACCACAGAAACACACACAGAACACACACACATCACACAGACCACAGACACACACATACTACAGACACACACACACCACAGACACACACAGACCACAGACACACACACACACACACACAGGGGAGCAATACTGTGTTTAGCTATCTTAATTAATGTCATTCATCTGAACTAAATCACAGACTTCATTCATCCATTGCATGCATTCTCTCTCTTTATATACAGAGTCATATTAAAGAGGTAGAAATACACAAAACGTACCGTAGCCAGATGGCGAGTCGCTCTGCGGGTCCGATTGACAAACGCATACGGGTGTCTGCCTTTGCAATCAGTGGACCGACTTTTCCGAGCAACTCGTCGAACACGTCTTTGCTCATCCTGAAGTACTGCTGAAACAGTACACCATCCAGGCGGAGCTCTTGGACAAGAACGTGGTATTCCCCCCGTTGCAGACGTTTTCTGAGTATCGGATGTACCCAACAGCGACGCACAATATGTGGCCCTCCTGCGAGACATTGCATAAAGCAACGCTACCCTTGCTACAAAACCGGCATCCATTTTGGCAATAGTGGAGAAGTAGCGGGCTTTTTTTTGCTTTGTATGCCGGGGGCGGGCGGGAGATTCCTGATTGGTTGTTGGTCGCCTTGGGCGCGAGAAATCGCCAAGCCTCAGACACGCCCAGCTTCAAGATTTATTTTATGCCTGTAGTGTAGACGGGCCGTTAGGCTGGCCACAATAAAAGGCCACTCTGAAACGTGCAGTTTTGCTTTATTGGGGGGGTCTGGGGGGGTCCGAAAACCAGTCAGTATCTGGTGTGAGGGGTAGGGTTAGGGTAATGTTGTGAATCGAGTGGCCTGTGTTCGTCGTCCATAACATACGCCTGCCCATACCATAACCCCACCACCACCATGGGCCACTCAATTCACAACATTACCCTAACCCTACCCCTCACACCAGATACTGACTGGTTTTCGGACCCCCCCGACCCCCCCCCCAATAAAGCAAAACTGCACGTTTCAGAGTGGCCTTTTATTGTGGCCAGCCTAAGGCACACCTGTGCAATAATCATGCTGTCTAATCAGCATCTTGATTTGCCACACCTGTGAGGTGGGATGGATTATCTCGGCAAAGGAGAAGTGCTCACTATCACAGATGTTTTCAGATTTGTGAACAATATTTGAGAGAAATGGTTATTTTGTGTATATAGAAAATGTTTTAGATCTTTGAGTTCATCTCATGAAAAATGGGAGCAAAAACAAAAGTGTTGCGTTTATATTTTTGTTCAGTGTACGTCATCGAGTGCCACCGAAGTACTGTTTCAATGTCCAGCATACTTGGAAATCTACCGAGCCCGGCGTACTTCGTTTGGAGACATTTTGAGGCTGCACATGTATAGACTCCGCAGTCTTAAAATCCCCACAATGCTTTGCGCACGGACCAATTTCCCCAAATCTGTGGCGGAAAATGTAAGGCGGGCCTCTCATATGACGCACACTTGCTAGCCTGTTCCACTTTTTGTTTTCCGAATGGCAGGAAGTATTCTTGCCTCGCTTCTGAAGCAAGACGCTCGGAAGACATGTGCTACCAAGCAAGCGTACTCGAGATTGAGAAACACCCAAAGTCTGCCCTTATCTCCCTATTTATCAAGACTACTCAGCATTTCCTGTATCAGATATCACTCTGGTTTCCGTTAGATTTAACATAGAATCAATCGTGCTCAACATTTTTCTTATCCTCCTGTCACTGCCTGCATAACCCGCATTACCAATATTTGATTATGTCCCAGCACGCATTGCACACACGGACACGGCGGTATTTTAATTTGTTTATGTTTGTTTGCAACTTATATATATAAATATTCCAATTACTTGCATATGGACTATTCTGCACTATTTCTATTCTATTTAATTTACTTGCACTATTATCTGTTATATTGTGTTGCACTGTTGGAGGAGCCTGTGACCTAAGATTTTCATTGTCATAACTACACTGTAGCTATATGTACGAATAACAGTAAAAGCCTTGAATCTTGATATTATATAAATATTATGATTTGAGACTGTATATCATATTATCATCATAGATTTTGGATTTTAATAATAAGAGTCTCTTTTTGGTTTTAAAGGCTGCATTATAGTAACGTTTATGTTGTATTATGTCTTTGCTCACTTCCACTTAAATCCACATTACTGATGATTATTTATACAAGTATTTGTATAAATATTTTTAAGAAAGCATATTCAAGCCTACGATATTGTCGCAATATGGATATCAAGGTATTTCTGATATATCGCAGCCCTATTGTACTTTAATGTGGGCTATTGTTTTCTGATTCATCACAGCTAGTTCCAGGTGTGTTTGTTCCCTTTCCTTTCCTGTGAGATGTGCTTTTGTTACTTGGGAAACAGTATTTATTAAACAAGACTTTTCTTGCTTTCAGTGAATGGCACCACCGGAGAGAGCATGTCTCTCACTGTCGCAGAGAGGAAGCTCCTGGCTGAGGAGTGGTGTAAGAAAGCCAAGGGCAAGTAAGTGGCCACTCATCATCTTTATCTGGACATGTGTTGATATGTTGAGGGTCACGAAACAGAAACAGTTTGTGAGATTTATTTTGTATGTGTGTGCATGTCTCGACAGAATGGATCATGTTGTTGTGCATGTCGGCTGCATGAGTCTTAAAGATTCCCAAGACCTGGTGAGTGGCTTTAATATGTGAACAAAAGACATGACACACAAGAGTAATAGTAAGTGTGTTTCATGAAGTATGATTACTAATTATTATTATCAGACAAGCGTGGTCCCACTGAGGTTCTTAAATGAATGAATGAAGGAAGTAAGTATCACATAGCATTAAAGGCAAGTCTTGTTTAAAAACTAAGTTTAGTTAATATAAGATTATTTCCTCTTTAAATGCCACATTGACAATTCTACCTTCTGGGTTTTTGCTTTTTTGAAAGCAATGTTTTTCCTGCAGGTATTTACAGTTTGATGAATGGGAGTGTTAGAAACTTTTCCGACTTTTGCTACTCTCTCAATTGTAATTCTATAGCTTACATGCAAAGCGCAGATCACCAAAAAATGCAAAAATGCTTGATGTTATAGCACTAACAAATAGCAATGCAGTTCCCACTCCTCTGATTTCACAGCCATAGTGATGATTTAATGTTTTAATGTTGGATGTGATTTCCTTCAGCCTGCGTTGGCAGCTTAGTTCAGAAAGTATTTACATAATGTGTAAGTGAAGACAGTGAGGGTGATATACAAGTCTATATCACTTTCCTGATAAATACACAAATGTTTCCCATGTTTTGTTCCTTCTTTAATCTAGAAAATGCTTGTGGTCTTTCAAATAATCAGTCACTCTGATGTCTTGGAAGTATTGAGCTGTGTCAGTATGGGATTGCATGCCCCATTAAAGGAATAGTTCGGCATTTAAGGAATTGCACCATTTTACGAGTGTGACTTTTTTTGTGACTATTTATTGACTCTGAGCAGATGGTGGGTACCCAGAGGCTTTAGTAGTAAAAACTACTTCTTTAAACAAATTGTCAGCTTGAATTACTGCATGACTAGAACTTGGTATACTGGATTTCTTTTTACAAAGGCAACTAAACTATCTATACATCAAAAAACAGCAGTAAAGGTTTACTGTTCAAACTATAATTTGTAATATATTCAACGTACTGTAGCATGAACTACAAATTGCCTTTGTTTTCATTTCTCAATGTTCATGCTCCCTGCAGGCTCTCCATGCAGCACAGATCGAGGCAGATTCGATTGCAGTCATTTCCCCCTCCTTCTTCAAGCCCAAGAATGCCCGTATGTAATAGTTTTTGTGGGAAAAGCATGTATTTCCACTTCTTGAAATGCAAATGTGTGCCGCTTAACACCCACTTTTACATTCAATTTACATGTCAACACTCTACCTGTCTATCTCAGTAAAATATGACCGTTATTTGCCCTCTCATCCTACAGATGCTTTGAGGTCTTACCTCAAGGCAGTGGCTTCAGCTGCCCCAAATCTGCCTTTCTACTATTATCACATCCCGTCTATCACCGGAGTTAATGGTTAGTGCCATTGATTATGCAGTTTTAGAAATGGAAGAATTCTGCATCCCTAACTATGGCAAAAGCACATTGAATGTCAGAGCGTGTTTGATGACAGCAAGGCCTTTTTTCTCTCTTTTCTCAGTGCTGGTGAGAGATCTGTTGGTCGGCATTGAGGAGCAGATTCCCTCCTTCAGAGGTGTGAAGTTCAGCGGCATTGACCTGATGGACTTCGGCCTTAGTTTCAGCCTCATGAAGCCTAACTGGTCTCTCCTCTACGGCGTGGACGAGGTCAGCTTTTATTCCTCCACATCTGTTGAGATCCATCAGTAGCCACTAATAATGCAATGTGACGTTTTATGACTCCACAGTAGAGCCAGCCTGAATATCAATATCTTTCATTTTGTTATAGCAAATGCTTTCGGGTCTGGTTTTGGGAGCCGACGGAGCAGTTGGAAGGTCAGTGTGTGATCCTGCATGCCGTTTGTCTCCTTTTGTTTTTTTCTGCTTAACAGTTATACATTTAAACTGGTTTCATTTCTCTGCCCGCAGCACATATAACTATGTAGGATGCCAATTCAACAAGCTGTTATCAGCATTTGAGAAAGGCGAACTTGTCGAAGCCAGGACAATACAGGTACCATCCATCTCCATGCTGTTGCTCCCAACTTCTCATTCATATTTGACATCATTTGTGGTTACTGACATATTTGTTTCATTTCCATGTGCAGTTCAAGTTGCAAGACTTTCTCGGGTCGGCCATGAAACTCGGTGAGAGACACTTGCTTCATGAGGATTTTGTAACAAATATATGTAATTTAATGAATGCTCTTTTAGAAGTATTTCTCCACCTGTAACACTTTTTTATATTTGTTTGAAGGCTTTGATGTGGGAGTGAATAAGCAGCTGATGGTGGAGGTGTCCGGCCTGAGCCTCGGGCCCCCCCGACTCCCGTTGATGCCGTGTCATCCTGATGTCGCTGTGTCCATCAAACAAAAATATAAAAGCATTTTTCCTCAATGCTAATGTTTTCATACTGGACAGTTGAAATCCCTCAACGGTTCAACTTTCAATCAGATCTCAGTGTTAAAAGACGGAAAATTTTATATTTTAACCAATATTCTAATCTTGGTGTCTATAATTTTATAAAATTTTAATTTACTAACTCATATTACCCGTGGGGTTTTTGCAATTTAGTTTTTCTTACATTTAGAGAAAAGGGACTATCAAAAATTAACAGTGTTACTTTATTATTCTGTACTGTGAGCTGAATCTCATTTGTTTGAGTTCTGTTCTGTCAGACACGCAACGTGACAAAGAAAATAAAAAACGAGGGCCACCGGATAGTTCACTGATTAAAGCTCTCTGCGTTGACTGTTTGACTCCGGCCTGCAGAGGGATTTGGTAATTTCATCTTTCATAAATGTAATCGCACATGAAACATATTTTACAATACACTAACATAAAATAGGCGTGACAGCTTTGTTATTTAAAGCTGTGGTTCACGTTAGTAGAACGTTTTGCCATTAATGACTTCTTCTTCATAAATCACAGTTATGGAAAGCCCTGACCTTAAGCTGGTTCAGGGTTTAAGCATCAGATGAAGAATAAGAATAAAAGGTGCTCTGATGTGAACAATATTACATGAAAAGTGATCACTCCAAAAGTAAGGGAAAAGGGTGTCATGAAACATCCTAGTTTTTACGAGGGAGCATAAAACCTGTTTTGACTTTTGACATTTAGAGTGTGACTTTTTTTACCAATCCTTTGTATTATTTCTAACAACTAATCACAAATGTCTTACTAATAAAGCCATTGATAATTACTGGTCTCTGACTTGATGTCTGTTTTTTATGTTTCATTACAAAATCAGAAGTTCAGATTATATCTAAAACCTGCACAATCATACAGATGGAAATTCTGCATATTCCCTGCTGTATCCTAGCTCTGTATTTAACATTTCCTTTAAAAATTGTTATAGTTTGCCAGATTTCCTGTGCTTGTTTGATTAATTGTATTAGCTGATAGTTAAATTGTATTTCTGTGTGGATATGTACCGAAATTATTCGGTACGGGCCCTTCGGTTCGGTACAGGTGTGTACCGAAGTGTACCGAACGAATATAACGTTAAACGTAAAAAATTGAGAACGTGAACAACTTTTTGGAAGTAATCTCAGGTGCTGCGTCGCAGCATTCAGAGTAATTTGGTCACATTGGGTTCAACGCGTCATAGAGCGAGCAAGTCATTTCATTGGATGAGAGGCATACTATGAGAGCTGGTCAGAGGGATGCGTTCATATGTAGTCAGTAATTTGAGGAACTGTCGAAAATTAATGGCGAACGCAGATAAAGTTGAGCTCGAAAATCCTCCAGCATCATTGAAGTCTCCGGTTTGGGAACATTTTGGTTTCGCAGTTACTTACAAGGATGAAGGACAAAGACAGGTGGACTGAACCAAAGCTGTTTGTCGGCATTGTTCAACTAACATTGGTTACGCGGCTGGCAATACATCAAACTTGCACACTCTTGAAATGGCATCACCCGAACGTGAATATCACCGATACCAAAAGAAAAAAGACTGAAGTGCAAACCCAACTCCCGCTAGCATTTAAGCCTCCACCACTCGCAGAGAGTTCAGACCGAGCCAAAGCTATTACAAACGCCAAATATCCTTATGTTGCCATGTTAGCAAAGCGCTACCTGGCTGTATCTGCTACCTCTGTCCCTAGCGAGAGGGTGTTCTCCACAGCAGGAGACATTGTTAGTGCCAGCAGATCTGCCCTTTCGGCAAGCAATGTGGACAAGTTCATTTTTCTTTAAAAAAACATGAAAATACAATGACAAGCAAGTCATAATGTCAAGCTGGCTGCTTAGGAACTAGTACAGTACAGTTCAAATACAGATTATTTCAGTTCATCGAAAAGCTGCACCTTAATGTTTATTTTATTATATTTTGTATTTATTTGAGTGAATATTCACAGTTTAATAATAATTAAAAACCCCAAAACTAATAGTTTATGTTTTGTGAGTACTAGTAGCCTATAGTAAAGTTCAAATACAGATTATTTCAGTTCATCGAAAGGCTGCACCATAATGTTTATTTTATTATATTTTGTATTTATTTGAGTGAATACATTATTCACAGTTTAATAATAATAATAAAAATATATATATATATGTTTTGTTTTGTGAAAAAAAATTCTGCTGTACCGAAAACGTACCGAACCGAACCGTGACCAAAAAACCGAGGTACGTACCGAACCGAAATGTTTGTGAACCGTTACACCCCTAGTGGATATCTTTCTGCTGATTCTAAGTTTAGAGTTTGGGGCATTTAAAAAAAATCCTAAAAGAAATGTAATAGCCTTTTTGCACTTCTTAGACGACGTGCAAATTGTTGACCTCGTCAATGGTTGGACCAAACCTGTAGATCACTGCTGTTCAAAATGCCTCCCTACAAGGTTTGTTAGCGTTGTTTTAACCCCTGTGGTCGCTGTCAATACAACTCTATTTGCCATTTGCCAAGTGAATTTAGAGAATCAGTATGGAAACAGATGTGAGAATCAAAAGCATTATAAAAAAACATTTAGTCATAACCAGCTTTTGAGAATTCTGTAGCTGTGTTTCTGTCCCACCTCCTTATGTTTATTTTTTGTTTTTGTTTCTCTACCTCTAAGTCATGATTCATGAGTTGGCTCCCAAATAAAACATCTGAAATCGTAACAAGTGCAGTCTGTGCATGTTCAGCAACCCATCGCCTCAGGCTGTTGATCTTGTTGTGAACTAAAGTGTGTGTGTGTGTGTGTGTGTGTGTGTGTGTCAATTTAGAGCTATTAAAGTTGTGTTTTGTTGTCATATGGTCACTGCTATCATCCTGGTAAATAGTTAGCCTGTGCTATATAATGTGCGTATATACTCGAAAAGAAGCACTGCATGCATGGAAAGCAAATATAATGTTTTGAATGGAATAATTTTTTAATGATTTACAAATGAAAACAGGCTGTTTTTCTTCTAAATATCCTAAAAAATTGATACACTCTGATCTTTTTCCATTCCTCTCAGAACATGACGTGCTGTGTGGCAGATGCCGGGGGTCACTTGGTGGGGGTCTGTGGGGTCAGGGCTGCAGCCGGTGACAGAGACTCCCTGTGGACACCCAGCCTGACTCGCTCACAAGTGACAAAACTGAAGGTTTGTGAGAGGTCTGTTGCTCTCTGCATCACTCACCAGGCTGCCAATAGCTTGAAGAAGGAGACTCTCACTATGTGGACAAAGTATTATGTAGTTGATGCTGTCTCATAGATTGGTTGTGAGTGCAGACCTATATACAGTCTATCTATTTGTTGTGTTTTAGTTTTACAATGTGTGTATGGATTTGGAAAGAGTTCCAATGCTAAAACTCTACCACAAAAGGTGGATTCTTGCTGGCTTTTGTAGCTGGAGCTTAAATGATTTGCTGTACGGCTTTAGTGGAGCTCATTGCTCCATCTTACATTTAAAGTCAGTTGTTTTAAATATATTCTTATAGTCATATAGGACACCTACATAATAAATCCTTAGAAAAGCCTTAAATTCTCTTTTTCAAGAGATGACAGAATCCTGTTGCTCCAATAAAAAAAGTATCCCTTTCTTTATGTAATGGAGGAAGCCTGTGTTCCTGAGGCTTCCCCTACAAGTTACCAATGCTGCCTTCAGCTGTATATATCTTGCACTTATAACTCCTAGAAAAACTGACTCATTGCAATCTTTGGTTGCTTCGTGGTGTAAAGTACGATAAAGGAGTGGAGAAAGACTGATATCCTTTTGTGCCATAGAGGCATAGTGGAAATGAAAAAGTGGCTTATGTAGTTATTTAGGTCAAGCAGAGCGTCCTGTTTTGTGGATATTGCATCCTTACCTGGGCATGTTAAAAGGCTATCACTTTCAATGTTCATAATCAAGGATTCTTAACGCCTGCCTTGAAAGAAATAAAAAGGAAAATGACAACTAGACTGGCATTTAATTTGTTACATCATGTTATCTCTAAGTCAGAGGGCACATTTTGTGTGAAAAATAAATAAATATAAATATTCACATATTTACTGAAATAAATAAGGAACCCAAAAATAATACTCACTAATTTAACAGCACAAATTACTGCTTTCGAACTAACCATTCATTAACAGATTATCAAATTAGTCAAACTAGACTAATTGTACAATTCTTATCTCAAATGATCTATTTAATCTTGGAATCTTGGATCACCTGTAAAATGCCTCGTCACAACAAAAACAAAATTACACAATGACTAGGCTACATTGTTTTACTTTAATAGTCACATACTTTAGGTGGAGTATTTGCTACTGCATAAAGCTCCATGTAATGTAAAATACATTGTCACAAAACTGGAAACAGGACTGCTTTTTTTTAATACTGTAAATATTGTGATTATTATACTTATAGTGGAGTATTTCCACATTCAACGGTATTATAATGGTTCAAGTAGGGAGCTGAATTGAACCCCCTTGCTATTAACCAAACAAAGCATGTCTTTATAGAAAAAATATAAATAAAAGTCACACAGAACTGTATGTGTGTATTATAACGTTGCCTTCTATTAAGGATATGTGTAATGCAATTCTTCCTCAGCTGTAAAATGCATAAAAGAAGCTGTCCCACGGCTCAATACAGGGCTGATTTCTTGAGTTGTTTTTAATTACTGTAAACATTTCAGTAAAATGAATTATCCTCATTTCAATTAAGTGTCTGTATTCCACAACTGACTAGAAAACAAAAACACGTCACAAGTAAAAATGACACGGAACTGTTTTGATCATCCCCTGGTTCCGCATAACGAGAGGGCGGAATTATTTAGCGGTGACACCCAAAGCTCTTGCGTTTCCGGCCAGCTCAGCGTCAGTCCTGTGGTGTTGTCAGCTCCCTGTCAGTCGCTCTCTGCTTCACCTGTGATATATATCTGTTCCCCCCTAGAATCACCGGAGAACCACCGCCACCGGAGAGATGGTGCTGCTGACGATGATCGCTCGGCTGGCGGACGGGCTGCCGTTAGCCGCCTCCATGCAGGAGGACGAGCAGGTTAACATTTCTGTGTTTTTTGTATTAGCAAGCTGCTTCTGTTATCACTGCAGGATCCTGCTGTGACGCCTCTGAGTTGTAGCTATGGTAGTGACACGTTAGCTAACATCCACCAGCTACTGCAGGCCTGTTTATGTCCACATAGCCTGCCTTTTATGTACATAAAGCAACGGATTCATTAAGCACAGAACAGGCTCACCGTGTTTCAACCCTGACCTTATTTCATAATGAAGTATCGCATAACTTTGCCTGTATGCTGTGTGAGGCAGGGCTGGGCTATGTGGAGATAATCCAATATAATGTGGTTTTGTAGCCAATGGCTCAATATTGATTTTGCCACGACATTAGGCTGTTGTTGCTTTTGATGAGATTTGTGTATATAACAGTTATTGAATTATTACATAGGTAGATAGACTCTTGATCCCAAATTGTGAAATGCTTGTGTTGCAGCAGATTATAAGGCATTGCACAAGAGAAATGAATATACAAAGAAAATATAGGCCTATGCAAAAATATGTATAGTATATCTATAGTATTCACGGTATGAAATATAACATTTGAATTGAATTAAAATAAGGAAACAAAAACAGAATAATGAAAAAAGCCAAACCATAGACTAGACACTATAACAAAAAAATTGAAACAAAACAGATGAATGAAAGTATTACTGAAAAGAAAGACAATTTGTCTCAATATTACAAAACAAAACATCTTTAAATAACCACTATATATATATTTATTTATTTTTGGGGTCACCTACTCCAATCAGAAAGAGACAAAAACATAAAACAATTGTTTTTACTGACCTCCTTAGATACAACTGGGATTATAAAGGGGATCTGATCAGAGCATTTAAATAAATACAATGTATTAAAAAACAAGCTGGTTTGGACAATAGGGATGGTTAGAGTTATTGCATTTCTAAATACATTTATACAAGTGAAAGAAAAAGGTTTGACTTGAAAAAATGCGTATTACACAATGTGTCCAGCAGAGAGCACTGACTCATTTATTGCAAAATATAAAATGATCTACTCTGAAGATACTGTGCTTGAAATGTTTTAATAACCAGGGGGAGTATTATAAAGTGTTTTTAAAATGATAACAGTCTTATGTGTTTTATATGTTGTTTAAAGACCCCTAAATATTAGAGTGCCCAAGTGGCTGAATGGTGCAACGTGCCTGCTTGGATTGCATGCTATACCCTGTACATTACAATGTCTAATAAGGGTACAAAAAAAAACCTTCAAAAGATTGATATTATCCTCTAAACTCTATTACACAAACATAAACTTAACATATGAAAGATGTTAACATTGTACCATGTTAAGTTGTTGTGTTATGTTTGAGCATGAGCTGCCAGGAGTCTAACATCTCTCCCTCACTCTCTCGTTTGCTTTCATAAAGGGAAGTGAAAAGGTTTGTTGTGTCTCTGCTCTGCAACCTCATACGTGTTTCTGTGATGCTACAGTGTTTCTGTAGGAACATCTGTTATTTCCTAGAGTAAACAACATTAATGGAATCAATCTCATCAATCACCAACATGCTTCACATAAACGGTTAACCACAAACAGCTGGAGTGGCTTTTTGTCCAAAAATAAAGCATTGCCTTCAGTCTCAGTTGTAGCATCACACTGCTGAGTCTGTCTGTGGTGCTTTGTGCCGACAGTTTATATCCTGCACACAAACAGGGCAAGAAATTGTCAAAATATATTTTAATCTCTCTTTTAAGCAAGTTAACACGCTCATATCTGTCATTTATGTCTCTGATGCTAAAAATAAATGCTATTTGCTCTACATGCAAATGTGGAAAACAACAGTCAACTTCTTGCCCTGATGAAAACAGCCATATTTCCTGTGTGAGATGTCTGGTATCTGATGTGTTTTCTGTTCTGTATGTTCAGTTGGGTCGGGACCTTCAGCAGTATCAGAGTCAAGCTAAGCAGCTCTTCAGGAAACTCAATGAACAGAGTCCATCACGCTGCACTTTAGAGGCCGGCTCCATGGCATTTCAGTGAGTATGAAGAGCACGAGAAACATACATTTTCTTTCTTATTTAACACTTTCTTTTTGAAAGTTTACATTATAGTGAAAAATCATACAGAATGTCATTGGGCCGTCAAATACATACTGTAGATGCAACAGTGCACATTTAAACCAGACTGCCAAAAAGCAGATCAAATATACCCCCCACCCCCAGCATGAAAGAAAACAGCATTTTAAAAATTAAAATTAAAAAACGGAGTAAATTAGATAAGTATACACGTTCTCAAATAGACACAACAAAATAAAACAAACAAAGCAAACGACGAACAAAAAGACAAAATATATACAACACTTACAATATTGCTTTAGAAATTGTAGTAGCCCAGATTTCAGCAACACTCAAATCTATACACAATCCTCTTCAAAGAGTTCAATCCAGCTTGCACTTCGAAACACACATTTTCTAACTTTAAATTCACAGTGTCTTATCTACAATTATCATTACAGTGACATTTCCTCTCCGATGGTTTCTTGACAGTTTTCCCCACATTTGTGTTCTCCTGCAGCTATGTTATAGAGAAAGGCGTGGTGTACCTGGTGCTGTGTGAAGCCAGCTTTGCTAAGAAGCTGGCCTTTGCTTACCTTGAAGACCTGCAGGCAGAGTTTCATGAGCAGCATGGGAAGAAGGTCCCTACAGTTTCACGGCCATACTCCTTCATTGAATTTGGTAAGAAGGCAAGAGAGTCAGAAACAACTGAATGACTTCCTCTGTGCAGAAAGTTGTTTCAAAAACATTCGAGACTATTATGTTTATGATATGTTGCAATGCCACATTACCTTTTTCTTTTCTGATCAGTGCTTTGTTTTCCCAAATGTGAAATCTATATACTGATAATTGGCTCTTGGGGTCGTTTTCAAAAAAAGGTAACAAAGAAAGACTGACTAAACTAAATATGTTTTTTTAAATCTAATTGATAAAGAAATAAGATTTAATGTAGATCTGTGACATGTAGCATGAGGTTAATTTCAATCATTGTATCGAGTTTGTTGATCAGTTACTCACACAATACGTTTTCAGTCTTAACATCCATGCAAATTATAAGCCAGTTCCTTGAAGGGGAGAAATCATGAATCACTGCCAATGCTGGCGCTCACTCGCCCAGCACTGCTTCACTTTCTCTTTGGCAGTTTTTTGGCAGATCACAACAAAGCCTCCAAGCAGATGTTGCTCTCCATTTCATAAGATGTACATTTGATACCTTTCAACCCACTTTCCCTGCATCGCTGGTCCCTTCTGCTACCCCACACTTCTTGTTATAACAATGTCCCTTGAACTGCATAGGAAATCAATTTGGAGCCAACTCAAATGCCCCTTCTCTAGTTTATTATGCCTCTTATTAAATCTATCAGAGAGGGGAAGTTGTCAAACACTCGGATATAAAAGTATATCAAGACTGTGGTAGAAAGAGCTGATGGGCATAACTAATGCTGCAGTTTGAGGAACACACGCCTATCTGCTTGTTTCATTTGATGCCGCTTCCTCCCCAGACACCTACATCCAAAAAACCAAGAAGTCGTACATCGACAGCCGAGCGAGGAGGAATCTGGGCAGCATCAACACAGAGCTGCAGGACGTCCAGAGGATCATGGTGGCTAACATAGAGGAGGTGCTGCAGAGAGGAGAGGCTCTGTCGGGTAAGACCACGTTAACCCGGGTTAAATCATCGGTACAGGGGAACATTCCTGCTGACCGCAATAACTCTGTATAACAACTCACCCCCGGCTGGCAGAGAACTCACTGCTCCATCTCTTTTGTTAACTTATAACTTATAACTGGACTTTTCTTCAAAGTGTACATTTACATTTAATTTAATATGCCATTCCTTGCACACCTACTTTGAAATTGTGTTGGATGTAATTTGGCCCTTCTTAGTGTTTATTTGTCAGATAGTCTACAGATTTGTATCTTTCAAGGACAATTTGTATATATTTTACTTTTTAGTTCTGTTTTATTTTCTATTTTGAGATGTTTCTATTTTCTATTTGTTTTTTTCTACTGTTTTTATTTTTCAATTGATGTGTAATGCCTTGTTTTAGCATGCTGCTCTGTCGCAAAATGTCCCAATTTTGGGTCGTTAAAGTAGGTCTTATCTTATCAATGCAGAGGGGAAGGATGCTTTTCATATTCACACTGTGATCCTCTTTAGATGTTGTCCTTATCTGTCTCGTTCCCCTCTTTTTTCTCCTCTCTCCTCTTGTCTCGTTTCCTCCTCTTCTCCCCCCTGCAGCGCTGGACTCCAAGGCCAGCAACTTGTCCAGCCTGTCCAAGAAGTACAGGAGCGACGCCAAGTATCTGAACACCCGCTCCACCTATGCCAAGCTGGCAGCCGGCGGCGTCTTTTTCATCATGCTCATTGTCTACGTACGCTTCTGGTGGCTCTGAGAGAGAAAAAGAGGAGAAGGAGAAGAAGGAATTGAAGAAGGAAATGAGCTGCAGAGAATCGGCAGACACTAAGAAGAGCTGTCACCTTTGACTAAAACAGGATCTTAATAAGACTTTGCAGACATGCCACCGCCCGTTTTGTTCTCACCTGTCCATGGATGTGTGGTCTGAATATAAATGATGTCATATCACATAGTTTTATTATTAACAATTATTCAGTATTGCGCTTGTAATTGTCCTGAAGAAAGGTTCAAACAAAATGAGTGATCGTGAGTGTTTTGGTGTGATTGCTCTGTTTCTGAAGGTGATGAAAACACATTTCTTGTTTTGTGAGTTTACAAAGCTGTACTATAACATGACTGATTCACTCTTGTATAATGTCTGTAATAATACAGAGAAGAGCAAAGAAAACATAAGCCTATTTATCCTGAGCACGTCATATGGCTATCTGAATTCATTTACATTATAATCAAACGGGATGTACCACAGTTACAATCGCAAAAATGGCATTTATCATTTTACGTTGAATTGACTCAGCTATCAACTAGGGAAAGTACTTTTAAAGTAAACTGTCACATGGAAGTGGTGGTATAAGTGGCTGCACAAACATTTTAAGGTTGTCAGAGAAGGAGGAAAGTCATGGAGTTTTTCTTTTTGCTGAAAGAAGGGTAGAGGTTAACTTAATATCAATCCAAATTTATATTTCAGCCTTGGTGATTGTCACAAAGCATATATTTAGTGTGCATAGTTGGTCATAAATGTGCTCAAAAAAATGTATCATGCAAATGACAACAATCCTGTCGAAGTTTAATTTTATATTTTTCGCCAGTGAATAGGACTTATCTGTCAATTATAGGAAAAACAGCATAAGGATATTTATGTTTATGGATAATACTGATTGAGTTATCTCTGCTGGCATTAGTTCCCCTCTTCTTCACATCAGCCTTCACAATAATTAGTTCCATGTTATATTTTGAGTTTAGCCTTTTAGGTATGCCTTTTTTCTGGAGAAGAGGAAGAAAAAATGGAGAGCCCACAGCCCCCACCCGCCAATAAATGTCCTAAAGTTCCTCACCTCAACATTCATACACACTTTATCCTCCCTGGCACCACGACTGTGGACCAGCAGTGTTTTATAAGCAGGCATATTAAAAAAGAAGTGTGTGCTGCTTGGGTCCTTTTTATGTTGTATAAAGTTTCCACATGTAAACCAGAGAGTCTCTTTTTCTGTTCTGTCTGCTATCAATGAATAAAATGATTTGCACAAAACTCGCTTCCTTCCTTTCATGACCTTGAGTTGAACTGATGTTCTCATACCCCCCAGATGTTCTCATACTAAGAATGCAAAGAGATGCGTGCATTAGAACATTTCAGAATCAGAATACCTTTATTAGTCCCACAGAGGGGACATTTATGTTGTTACAGCAGAAAAAGAGCCAAAGACAGCTTAATGTTACATATGTTAAATGCATTAAAAAAAAAAGTTATATAATACAAAATATAATTTAAAAAAGTCACACAATTTACAAAATACACATCCTGTAACAGTTCTTAGGATTTAGCAGCCAGGTATATATTGCAGTTATTAACGGCATATATATATATTGCACAAATAGCACATATTGCACATAGTTGGTGGTTGGTATTTATGGGGTGTTATAGTCTGTGTTGTTGTGGTGGGAATTCTCACGGTTGGTTAAGCTCTATGACACACACACAAAACTGCATTTCCAAATGTTTCTAAGGCCCCGGCCACACGGAGACGAAAACGAACCGAGGTCTGTTGCAATAGAGTGGCGAAGTCACGCTCATCTACTTCCGGTCCATGGGACCTTATTTCGGAATAATTATGTATTGAAGTCAATGGAGAGAGAAAGATTATCTTTCGATCCCATTTGAATTGTGCCACGAATTACACATATGATGTTTGTCAATCTTAAAAAAATATTTCCATGTCAAAAAAGTCACAGTTTGTCGTAAACTGTTGAAATATAAGACTATGAAAAATACGCAACTAGAAAGACTACAAATCCCAGAATCCCGGTCCCGCATGCTGGCTCTTACGGAACCGACTAACTCCCCTTTTGTGTATGTACAGCTCTCAACGTGCCCAGACTTGGAGTGATTTTCACCTCTTTTAATACTTTTCGCCTCATTCTGAAAGAAAGAAGTGAAATGTGCCAACGTGACGGCCGTCTTGGTGTGTGGTGTGAGACGGGAGATGTAGTTCATTGAGCGGTTTCACACAAAAAAAAGTGTTACTTCACATTTTTACGACACATTTTTATTTTTTTGACTTGCAAAATTATCTTTTAAATTGACAAACATCATATGTGTAATTTGTGGCACAATTCAAACGGGATCGAAAGATAATCTTTCTCTCTCCATTGACTTCAATACTTTTTTCGAATTAAGGTCCCATGGAGGTCCCCCGGAAGGGGAGGGACTTCGCCACTCTATATACGTTTGCCAGGGGGACATTGTTTTTTGATGCACAGGTGGCCCGGGGGGACGACATGAGTCGAGGGACCAGGCATGAGCGTCAGTTCTGAAGTTAGCACGGCTAGGATGTTGCATTGTATCTTGTGGAACGAACATAACAAGTAAAGTAAGTGAGAGTAAGATAGAGTGTGTCGTTATTATCAGTATAGTACACAATACATATTGAAACATGGTGGCAGCGACACGAATCCAGCCCTGGAGAACAGCGTTCTAGCGCACCACGAGGATTGAGTGAGTGGCTAGCGAGAGGGAGCTAAGAAGACGACCCGAGTGACAGCGCTACGCACGAGTGGACATGGAGAATGCAATCAAACCGCCGGGTAAAATTGACTTTGATGATGCTAACTTGTCACATGCGTGGAAAAGATGGAAGGAGGAATTCTGTTTGTACATGGATCTAACCAGTGGCGGCCCCTCTTCCCACATGTTTTGATTGTCATTACAAATTAAAAATAAATTTAAAAAAAAATATTTTTTTAATTTTAATTTTTAATGAACAAGGTAAATATTATATAGTTGGTATCAGTAAAATGTATAATCTACAATAGAATCGTGTTACGATGTCTAAAGTTACTGATAAGTCACATGTTTCTTGCCTGGCCGCAGCGTGTATCATTACCCTCTCGTCTGGGCGCTAAGAAAGGACCCCTCAGCCAGTGCAGCAGCAGCCAACACATTGCTGACTGTTGCTATCAAACTATGCCGCCGAAACATAATTTCAGCCAATCAGCGTCGTCAGATCTGATAGTCATAGGGCGCGAATTTCAGCGCCCGATGCAGTCTGTGAGTTGTTTGGACTCGTATCCAAGGTGACGCTACAGTAGTTAATGAGGATGGCTGCAATGCCTGTAGCACCATGGAGCATATGTGTGGGCTGGACCTGTATTTTACAGGAAAGGAGTGAGCAGAGGGTCGAGTTGTCGATTCTTGTTCAGTTTTCTGTGACTATCTTCCAATCCTCACCCTCTCAGACTTTGAGTTGCGCGCGCTACTAAAGAGACGCGCTACCAAAGAGACGCGCTACCATGGAAACCAAACAATGGTGTAGCTGTATTAAAGTCTGAGTGGAAACAGTTGTGAGTAAATCTGATTTTGTCAGAAATCGGGAGAAATGCGGGAGAAATATGACCCCGGGAGGAAACCGGGAGAGGGCAATGAAATCAGGAGTCTCCCGCGAAAATCGGCAGGGTTGGCATTGGCAAGTATCTCACACACACACACACAATTTTTCCTCCCCCCCCCCCCCTCTAACATTTAGAGGAGAACGTTTTTCCGGGGGAGCATCCCCCCGGACCCCCCTAGTATGGTTTGGTCACCATTTCCATAGCCCCACCAAAAATATTTTCCACCAGCCACCACTGGATCTAACTATGGAAGACTGGTAAGGTAAAACTGCTGTACTACTTGATTGGAGAAAAGTGGAGCCTTGCAGCGGCGAAATGAGGCCCCACCCAGTCTGCGTGATCGGCCTGTAGGGAGGGTTAAAGGTGTCCAACTGGAGAAATGCAGCAGAAAGTTAATAATGTATAATGACACTTCACTGAAGCCCCTTGGAAAGTGCACACACTACACAGTGATATCTGCATTACTCATCCCAGGGTTTCCCACACATAGACTATACCTGGGCGGGCCGCCCAGGTATATTAACGGCCGCCCAAGTATATTTCGCGACCCATTTAGTTTTTTTTTGTTTTTTTTTTATAAAAAATTTTTTTAATGTTTTTTTTTTTTTATTCGTCCGTGACCACCGACCCATCTGCGATCGATTAACTTGTGGACAATGAATCTCCTCGCTCCCTTGCTCTGATCTCGCCTCCTTCTGGCCTGTTAGTGGCCTGCCTCACACAGGGTGACTGGCTGTCCACATGATGTGGCCTGCCGACATGGCCACTGTCATACAGATCATAAATCAAAGCCCTTGATTGGTCTCTGTGTGTCATTCAAGCTCGGGATAACCTCAGCTCAGGTGAGGTAAAGCACTCTCTGAGTGTTTAGATAGTTAACTTAGTCTAAGTTCTCAGTGGGTCTCAAACGGTGTGGTCACCATTTATGTAAACACATATTTCCATTTGAGAGGGTAGGTATATATATTCAGGAGCACAGACACACTCACAACTATAAATGAACCAAAAACAAATTAACAAGTTTCAGTGTTTTTTTCATATTGGAAATGGGATGTCAGTGTTTCCCACAGATCTGAAATACTTGGGGTGGTGGTTGCAGCGGGGGGTGGGGGGGGGGGTGGGGGGGGGGGGGG